TCACAAGTTTAAAAACCTCACAGCTGGTATAAAGTAACCATTTGGGGTCTGCTTCTACCTTGGACTAGTGTGACTCCTTCATGCAGTAAACTGCAAAGAGCCATGCTGGCTAGTCTTGAAGTCCCACATTTACACAGAGGACAAGCAGGCGGTGCCTGGCAGTGCCAAACCTGAAACAGAAGCCATAACATGGTGCTTCAGCCAGGCCCAGAGCCCTGAGGTCACAGACGCTATGTCAGGCAGAAGCTCTTCACTTCTCCCTCTGCAGAGCTACTGCTGTAGGAGAGTGTCACCACCTGGACAGCCCTGGTGAACCTGAGAGCATGGGATAAGCCAGCAATGGCAGCTGTGCCACTAGCGGGGGGCTCTGGTAGTAAAAGAAAGACCCCCTGGTATCTCCAGGTGGGCCGAGCTCAGAGAGGCTCCCTTCCCTCCGGTGGGGTGCTGGGACATCTGGCTTTCCGCCAAGGTCTTTTTGCCCAGACATATCCTAGCCAAGGGATGTCCAAACATCAGGACCTGAGGCCAACCTTCTACGAGTTAAGCTGTTGACAAAGGAACAAGCCTCAGACTGATGCATCAGTGTGTAGCTAGCGGTAGCGCTTGCGACTTAACCAGCAACAGCTGCCCAAGGCCATGTGCAGTAATAAACGGGTTTGGGGATTTTTTCCCTTCAGTTTTAATGTTCTGTGTAATGTATTTAAACCCTTATTTAAATACAACTTGTTTTCAGAAACACCTGAAAACAATATCTGTTTTCTAAAAGTTGCCAGCAGTTTTCTGTCATTGGAGGGGAGAGCTCAGCTCATCTTGAGGTAGATACTCTCGGTTCTAGGAAAAATCACACATTCAATTTGCGTCACTTGAATCACACAAATATAAGATAAGATTTCAACATATCCTAAGTGAAGTCATTTTAAAATTATCAGTCGCCTAATTAGACGACTCATTTTCCTGTCATTTTATTTCTCTTTTGTCTGTGCACTTGTCCTGGAGTTGTCAGTCATCCCCTTCCACACATGGATAGCTCCTGTGCCCCAGGAGGGCCCAGGCAGGCAGTTTAGACCAGGTGACACCCCCGCAAGGAGCAGCCACCTGCACCAGGGTGGAGACACCTGCCCCACATGCCCCACCAGAGCCTCATCCCAGGTCTTTGGGTCTGGACCCTGAGGGCTTGGACGGTTGGTTGAGAGAAGCCAAGCCACAAGGTCCACAGGGTAGCTACGTGTGGTGGTAGCCGGACACTACACAGTCGTACGAAGCAGCCCTGCCGGTAGACTAGGGACTGGTGGCCATTTGGGCCATGTGTGTCCAGAGAAAGCCAGTCTCAGGGAGGAGAGCAGAGCAAAGCACACAAAGAACGAGAGAGGAAAGTTCATGAGAAGGGCGGCGAGAGCAGCCCCTGAGAGCCGACGGCACCTCCCCGTCCTGACAGCTCCCGTCCTGGGACTGCAGCTCTGGCCTGGCGCAGAAACCTTCCCTTGCTCACCACGCACGCAGGTGCGCTCTGTTTTCATGTGACCGTACTGAGCTCAGCCTAGTCTGAGGCTTGGGATGTGGGGATGGTGGGGAAGATATTTACCTTTTTAATCTCATTTCTTCACTCCAGTTGCAAAGTAGTTACATCATACGGAGACGATTTTAAGGCACCCACATGTGAGATGTTACAGCACCACGGGCCGATTCTGTTGGTGGAATTGCTTTGTCATTATGCAGAACAGCTATGAACTGTTTTCCATGCCGAGGGAGGCAAACCCATTCTAGCCTCACTCTTTCTCACATTCTCAAATTCCTCATCCTTCTGAACCGACGAAGACATGTAGCTCGTATAGATCAAAGGAGGAAAAATAAGTCAAAGCTCATCAAGCAAAAGCTGGAAAATATGTTCTAACCAAATTGTGACATTAAATATGCAGGAAGCCCCCTAAAGAGCATTACGCTTTCCGAGCCCACACCACAAGCAAGGGCCGGCCGGACAGGAAACTTGGCAACCCGGGGACCAACCACTAAGTGCAGAGCTCAGGTTTTAGGCACTGGGGAATGATGGTCAGAAAATAACCATAATTTCAGTAAGAGAAAAGGGAATAAACATCTATTAAGTAGTTTGTGCTAGTTCTTAAATTAGGACTTTTTTAAAGCTGCTTTAAACCTCAAGAAAACTCTAATGTATGGGTACACAAACATTTTTTCTTAAAAGACCAGATAGTGAATATTTTAGGACTTGTGAACCACACACGGTCCCTATCTAATACTATTGGGTTTTTGTTTGCTTTGTTTACAACTCTTTAAATAGGCAGAAACCACGCTGAGTTCACAGGCCATAGCAACAGGCTAGGGGCCTTAAGCTGTAAATTCAGACATTTCCAGTTATATTTAAAGGTTTTCAGGGATAGGTATCTCACCATTTTCCAGTGACACTCACTCGATAGTTGGCTTCTTCTAAAATTATTTGTCATATTGAGCCGAATTTTCTTTTTCTGTTTTCCCACTTGTAACTACTTCTGACCTCAAGAGTTGGCAAACTCTCTTATTCATCATAGCCTTTTTAAATAGACTAAGTTTTCACTTTTCAGGTAAACATTCCCATCAAGTTTATCCTAAATTGATACGAAACAGTTTTTGGACTCTTTATTATTTTGAATGCCCCCTTCTTGGAATCTCCCTGACAATAGCCTTCCTAAAATGTGGCTTCCAGAATTTACACAGTTCTAGAAGATTGATGCGCACACTGTAGACTCATTTGAACTATTACGTAACCTAAATTGGGCCAAATGTTGATGATAATACTTCCTAGGCTTAGATGCATTGTTTTTGTTTTGGCAGCTCTTGTCATTTGGGGATTGTGGTAATTTCCGTCTAAAATTGCAAACATTTATTTTTGATAAAAGTTCAAATTTCTGTCATCAAACACAGCCTCAAAATTTCAGGCAGGCCTCAAAAATCATGGCACGAGTGAATGGCAGTGAATTCTTCCTATTTCTGTGCAGTGAGCACAGACTAATCTGAGGGGCGGGACCAAGCTCCTGCATGTATGAAAAGTGTGGCTTGCAAAGGCGAGGTCGCCTGCAGCGCTAAGCGGAGCCCTAATTCCGTCTCTTCCAAAGGGGCCCCATGACCAAGACAGGCTTGTAGGACAGAGCGAATGGCTCTTCTCCCGCGCACGCTAATGAATTACGTCCACCCCAGGAAACATCTGCAGGAAGCGAGCCATCTGCCGGTGCCCTCCCTGTAGAGGCTCATTCCAGCATCTTTCTCTGCTCCCCAGCAGCAGGCTGGTGGGCACTGACAACCAGAAAGAAATTTGGGGTGAGGGGAGATAAAGGAAGCAAGTTATGTGCTATCAGGAAATTCAGTTATAGTTGAAGATCTTATCCTTGCCTTGGCATCGGGAAGCATTTTTGAATGTTAGTCAGTGAGAAAAACAGGGTGTCTCCTCCTCAAATCTCCTCTCATGGATAAGAGCCCCCAAAGCGACTTGAAGACTCCTACCCTATTTTGCAAACTAAAATGTGGGTAACACATGATCTATCTCCCTAAGGATGCCAGTGCTTTCCCAGGCTGTCATAATGCCTACACTTTCCTTCCTGTTGTTTACTGTAGAAAGGAGATTGGGAGATTTGAAGAAAATAGACACCACAGCCCCATCACGAAGGCCCTGCAAAGCCACTTGTCTCCTTGTGCGTTCGACCTGCAAACCCACCAGACACATCCCGTTTCACCTCAACGTAGTGCTGAAAATAATCCCCTCCGCCAGCCTCGGCTGCACCCTGCAGTGAAATAGTTTACAGAGGGGTGTGGCCCGAGGCCCCAGAACAGTGGCCGCCTCCTACCCATCTCCACCCGCTTCTCTCCCGCTGACAGCTTTAGAGAAGAAGACGAGCCCTTTGCTGCACAGCGCTGCGGAGGGATATGGATGCGCCACGCACGTGGAAAGGACACCTTGCTGTGAAAACAGGATAAAGTGTCTTCAAATAAACCCTCTTGTGCTGCAGTCAAGAGACGCAGGATGCTTCTATTGCAAGGAGTAGATATTGAAGGAAAGAAAAAAAGAATTTTTAAAAATAGGACTTTTAAATTATTTGTGATCTAAAAGGTTAATTCATCTTGAAATATACTGGATATGCCCCCACAGTGGCAACAAATACATTTTCCACATGTGTTTGGAAGGATTGCCCCTTAGCTGGAAGCGCTCCAAGAGCAGCCGTGCGCGGTGGGGCGGATCTGGTACCGACACGACAGTAACTCGGCCTCCCCGGCATCCAGAGCCCAGCAGCGTCCCCGGGGAGATGCGCACCTCCCCACTGCGGCTGTATGCAGCGTGCGTGTCCCCGGACCCTTCTAAAAGATGCTGATAAACAGTACCTTTATCCAAGAAGTCCCACACACACTTATCTAGTGAACAGGTACAAATTTAGCAATTTTAATCAATATTCTTGCAGACAAGTGTGGATATGTATATGCATATATACATATATATACCAAAATTGAGAATTTACAAATAAGAGTTGATACATTTAGTCTAGCAGTGGGTAGGTCCATAGAATAAATCTCAAGTAGGGCATATTTTCTTTGTTGATGTTCTTGGTTATTCAGTTCTACTGCATACAAAGAGACCTGAAGCTTAAATTCACCTAGTTTTGAAGGAGTCCAAACTGAGAAAAACAGAAAGCGTGTAGCATTCCATAAAGCAAGCACGGTGTGCTTATGCTGTTCCTGGAAATATGAAAGTGTCCGAATTTTGTGCCTAAAAGGTCTGGAAATCACACGGAATCAGCTGCTGGTTTCTGATGTCTCTGGGATGTGCTTACTATAAACAAAAAATGTGGAGAAGCGAAGTTAACAACAAAACTGAATCCTGTTTGTATTCTAGGCCAAGAAATGGGACTGAGTTCCAGACTGAAGATGACCAGAATGTCCAGTGTCCACCCTGTGGCCTTCCTGACAGCCGGGCAGCAACAGCGGGGCTGGGGACGCCGTCTGTGTTCTGCTCACAGCCCCTAGTGCAATTTAGCCGAGGGGGCTGGGCGGGCCAGCTTGCAGAGCGACAGTCCTGTGGTTACCACTTTCCTGGAATGGAGACCCCACACTCGTACCAGCCCACGTAGTAGTAGGGGGTTCCAAAGCCAATGTGGCCAAAGCTGACAGGCTCCTGGCGATACTGGCGGTAGTAACCTGGACAGGTCACGGGAAAGGGAGGAGAAAAAAAGGTATCAGAGGCACACGAGCCAATGGGGAAAATTCTCATCCTTGCAAGAGCTTTTCAGACAGGAGACCTCTGCTAAGTTGCTCTTACAACGAAGTATGACTTCCAAATAAACCATTTTTATGTGGGGTCACTAAGCCTGTGAGTTTTATCCCAAGAAGATCTGTGGGATAATCCAGTCCCCACATGTGTGTACCACGGGCAGGAAAGAGTGATCGTTAGCACCCTGCCTCTCTCTCTCCACGAAAGAGGATGATTTTAGCCAATCACTAGTGAGCACTCGTGCGGGGCAGGCCCTGGGTTGGGCACAACATTGAACAAGATCCCACCTGGTTCTCACAGAGCCTCGGGCCTCCCACCTGCCCGGACCTCAGTCCTCCATCCTTAATCCCTGGAATCTGTGGTGGACTTTTAGCTCTTTCTAGGCACTATCTCAAAGGAAAGAATCTTGTAGTATTTCTGACCATTTCTCCCTTTATGTAGAAGGGCTGCTCCAACCTCTTCAAAATGTTTCTGGAAACCCAACCACTGCTCTCACTCCTTGGCTCTGTTTACTTTTGCCAAATAAATGGCTGCCTGCCATGCTACAGCAAGTGTACTGAACAGCCCGCACCTCTGTGCAGAGCCGGTACTGTGACTCTGTGCAGAGTCACAGAAACACAGGGGATAGGGATAACACATATAACTGCAACCCTGGGGGAGTGCAAGATTCTGAAAAAATTACTTGCTGTGAAGGTTAATTTTATGTGTCAGCTGGTCAAGGCCAGACATTTGATCCGACCTTACACTAGATGCTTCTGTGAAGTGTTTCTTAGATGACATTAACATTTAAATCACCAGACTGAGTCAAGCAGATGACCACACACTGGCTGGCCTCAGCCACCCTGTTGAAGGCCAAATAGCAAAGGATTGACCTCCCCTGAAGAGGAAGGAATTCTGCCTCCAGACGCCTTTGGACTTGAACTGCAGCATCAGCTCTTCTCCAGCCTGACGGCCCACGCTGCGGATTTTGGACCTGCCAGTCTCCAGAATTACATGAACTGATTCCTTAAAACAAATCTCTCAATCGATAGATGGGTCGATCCTATTGGTTCTTTTTCTCTGGATGACAGAACTGTTACTATTTTTTAATTCTTTGAAAATGGGTAATTCATGTACCAGCCTAGAGTGTTTTTTTCCCAAGCTAAAAAATGTGTTAAATCAGAACATCTCACGTCCTGAAAACGCATGATCACTAAGAGCTGAGTGTATAATAAAAAAAAAGTGCTGGAATTTATTCAGCCACTGTGTTTATTTTTTGGAGAGTTGCAAAGTTACAATGCACTACAAGTTGGTAACCTCTGAGATTAGCAAACTTGTCCTCACCAAAACGTGCCACAATCAAATAGTTCACACACCGGCTTCTGAAACTATCACTGTGGGTTTGTGTGTGTCCATCTGTGCCTTCCCCACCTTTGCTCATGCCGTTTCCCAAGTGGAAGGTGCTCCAATCTCTGCATGCTCAGCCAGTCCGTAAGACTCGGCCCAGACTCTGCCTCTTCTGGGAACCTTCCTTAACAGTCTCAAGAGATTTACCTCCTTTGAATTCATAGAATGATTATTATGTGCACAATTACCTAATGGTACAATCATATGGCAAAACTCCTGTCCTTATCTATACTTGCATGTGTTCACTCTCGGTTACCTTTTCACACACCTCTTTCCTCCTCCCAGCTGTGGAGCATGTTCCTGAGAGCAGAAACAATGCCTTATATAGTCCCTTGTATCCCTGAGTCCTCAAAGCTCACCCCACGCCCAGCACATGCAGTATTTTGTTGATTCTTTATTTTTATGATCCAAAGTGTTCCCAACATCCATCTTCCAATGATAAAACAAAGGCTGAGCTACAGTGAATTTCCTCCTTATGTTAACCCTCCTCTTGCACCCCCCAGTGCAATACACGAGGCACTTGTTTGTATTACCTTGAATGGTAGGGAGGGCTTCTACGTAGGACTGAGGCCCTGTTCTTCCATCAAGGTGCGAATCCACAAATTGGCAGTGGTCTTCACCCCTTCCCCAGCTGTCTCCAATGCTGTAGAATGTATCTGCATAAGGGAATACAATGAGTCGGTCACAGTCAAAGAATGCCACAGCTGGCTTAGGAGTGTGCACAAGCTTTGGAGATCATCTGAATTGGATACAGAAACTGTGTATGCCATACTTTCCATGTCTGAAAAATGGCGACTATGTCACCAATTTCATAAATGTTGTAAGAATTTAGCAAGATCATGTATGCTAAATACTTAATGAATGTTTGCTAAGTGGAAACTACAGTATTAATATTATATGCAGTTTCAGCCTATAAATGGGAGATCTTTCTACTTCTTAGTTTTAAGAAAAGAATAGAGAAAACTACAGGAGTCAGAGAATATATTAGAAAGTAGTTATGAAGGCAGGAAGGTCTACAAAAAGAGAAGAACCTATTTTCACGTATAGCTAGGAGGGTGTGTGGGTGGTGTGAGGCGCTGTCCGTGGTGCTGAACCACAGCTGCACAGTAGGGCGAAGCGGTGTCTCCCAACCCTGGGCTACTCGACGTGGCTGTGCAGCCTCTCCTAAGAATTCTGAAGCAGGTGAGGAAAAGAGTGGCGGTGGAAGAGAAAGGAAAAAGCAGAGAGAGATAAACAGACCGTGGCTGTTGGAAAAGGCACCTACACAGAAACCGCCAGGGTGGGGGATGGGAGGGAACACGTTTTGATGCTGTCTTTAAACAATCACTCCTAGCAAGAAAAAATAATTTAAAAAATGAAAAAAACTAATCAGTGATAAAATATAGACAAGCTAAGGATAAGTTTTAAAAATGTATATACTAAAAAATAAAAAGCTGTGCAGGTTTGAATAAAAAACAAGTTTGCATAGCCAGCTGGATAGACATGGCATTTCGAAGTGTTACTAGTTCAAGGTACTCATGTTATTCTTTGTTTTGTCTCTCATTGTCGAAGACAATGTGATTCTGCTTTGGACACAGAACCAGTAGTACTGCTGATACATGTTTCGCCACCTACACTTTTTCCCTGTAAAGTTGTCACTGTAGCAGGGGACTTTTCCTCCATCCTTCCAGCTCACACTACTCGTACCTATTATTATTGAATTAATGGCAAAGAAAGTAGGCCTTTACATTTCTAACAGAATTTTGGACCTCACTCCTAAGACACAGTGGATTTTTAAAAACATATTTTTGGGTGCCAATGTAAAAATTAGTCTCCGCAAAGTAGAGCCTGTGAAGCTGGTTTGAGGCTGAGGCAGAGGGACCCGCAACAATAGATCCAGGCCTCAAATGCATCTGATACACCTGCTGTGTCACCTTAGTACCTGATAAAATAAAAATTTTCCATACCTTCCATACCACCCAGCCTCAAAGACCTACCTTTAAGGTTGTCACTGAGGTAGATCTTATATCTCAGTGAGTTACAAAGAACGACTCCCACAAACTTTCGATACCACGTCCGCTTCACATATTGCCGGCCGTGGCAGTCCGTGTAGCCGGGGTCGTGTTTGAAAGCAAACGGGATCCAGATGGGCTCGCCGCCTTGACAACACAGAACACAGTGCTAAGTCATGACGTTCCATGTGTTTATTTTTGCACAAAGTACCAGGAAACCGGACTTACTCACTGGGTCTTCCCCTCCTCGCAGGGTTTTCTAAGCAAAGATTTCCTACCCTCTTTCTCTTTCTCTGTCTTTTTAGTACTAAAGTATAATGTGGGAGGGGGGAGTTCCCTTTACCTAAACATATCTAAGGTATTTGCATTTCAAAAAGGGATTCCCAGAGTTAGCAAAAACCCTTTAAGCCTTAAGGAAAATAAGCTGTCCTGGCCGAGCTGGTCTTCTGGGGCATGCTCTCCTATCCTCACGGCCCTCAGCCTAGGCTTCGCATCCTGCCACTCATAAGACCTGTCTTGCACTTAAGCAACAGGGCTTTCTCAGTTTGTATGAAAAACAAAGCAAAATGTTGTTGTACATTTAATGTATTTTGCTATCTTTTCAGTAATTTAAAATATCCAAAGGAGTTATGTAAACAAAGTATCTATTTCATAGATATTGACTACACTATAATGGATTTTCATAGGCATTGACTAGTATGGCTCTATTAAAAAATTCCCAGTCATTTTCTTCCACAGATCAGGATGAAAAGTGCAAGGAAACCACAGAAGTTGTCAGAAAATTATGAAAACACAAAAATGATCCAGCACTTCTACTTGTGATAATCACAGCAATCTCATATTCAATATTCAACTTCATTACCAGGATGTCAAAATTATCAAGAAAAGAAACTTACCAGGTGGCCTGACAACAAGCAGAGGATTGTCTGTAGAATGAAAAAGAAATAATTGACTTAGCATCATATTTCACAATCATAGAGCTGTTGAAATGTGTATTGTAATTTGAAGAGCTAACCAAACTGGAATAAAGAAAAAAAATAAAGTTTATTTAATAAATGCTGAAGTTTTTCCTTAGTTTTTGTTTCCTAAGCATTTCCTTTTGAGATATACTCTTCTAGTTGTATGGTCTTGTTATTTACCTAGAAGCTGTGGGTTCCTGAAAATAATAAGGTTTTGATGTTGGGTGCTATAAAATAATTCAATACTCTTTTTTTTTTTAAGTCTATCTTTAGAGTAACCTAAACATCTATACCCCCATAATATGCTGAAATAAAAAAAAAAGTCTATCTTTAGAAAGATATTTGGTGGTTTCTTAAAAAAATAAGCATATACCTGTTACACTCCATCCATTCTACTCTTAGGTATTTCTCCAAAAGAAATTAAAACGTATGCCTGTACAAGTACTTGTACATAAATGTTGATAGCACCTTTGTTTGTAATAGCCAAAAAGTAGAAACAACTCAAGTGTTTATCAACAGGTGACTGGACTGGATACACAAACTGTGGCACAGCCACACAATAAAATATTGCTCAGTAATAAAAGGGAAAGAATTACTGATACACACAACAATACGGATGGATGTCAAAATGATAATGCTGGGTGAAAGAAGTCAAAGGAGTTCATACTGTATGAATCCACTCACAGAAAAATCTAGAAAATGCACACTACAGTGCCAGAAAGCAGATGCGAAGCTGCCTGCACACAGGAGGGAGAAGGGGTCCCCTGGGGGCTGGGCAGGCTGGATCGCACGCAGCAGGAGGAAGCAGCGGAGGTGACGGATGTGGTCCCCATCTGGGCAGTGGTGATGGCTTCACGCATGTAAACACACCTCAGAATTCACTACGGTGTACATTTTAAGTATGTGCAGCTTGTTGTATGCCATTTATACCTCAACAAAGCTCTTTTCAAAACATATCTATGCCTTAGCACAAATAGTGCCATTTAAGAGAATATGAAACTAACTTTTTAAGGACTTCTGCTTTAGAAAGAAAAGGTTCGTTTTTATAAAATGTCATGGACTAGGTAAATCTGGACCATTCTTTTTTTACTTTTGAGAAATCCTACAGTGAACTGCTCTTTTAGGGCATATAGCCCATGAACGTTAACAGCCGTATAGGTTCCGGAAACTCCACCACGATCAGCACAGAGGACCTGCGTCACCTGAGGGTCTCCCGGTGCCACCCTGTGCACGGACCACTCACTTTGACGTCATCCGCCAGCCACGAAACAGGGACATGCTGCAGCTGTCAGTGCAAAACGCTTGCTTCGCTCTCCTGCTCTGAGCTTCTCGAGGTCAATCCCAAATACTCCACGGCCGGGTGGAGGGGAACAAGGCTAAACGACAGCGGCGCAAACAACAAAAACCTGACCACTTACAGTCGCTCCACGGATTCATTTTAGATTATGTGTGGCAAATACCACAGTTCAGTTACTTGATAATTCCTGTTGCTCACCTAAGCTCGTCCAGCAAGGTGGCACATAACGAACGAGAGAGTTGAATAAACTGATTGAACCAAGATGACCGGAGCAAACAATTGGCCAAGTTCCGCATGCGTGAGCATCTCCGGGAGCTCACTGGCAGTGAGTTAACCGGGCCGCACCCAGACAATCTTATCAGAGGCTACGTGGGGCCTTGAACTTTCCTCACCCATCCCTTGGAGACCATAAAGGATGAGCTGGGAGCTTTCTTTGGGGAAAAGGGAGAAGACAGCTGTCTTCCCGAAAGTTTACATTGCAGTCCCAGAAATTATGTGTATTAATACATCACTGTCTACTCTCGGACTTCAGACCTGGGTTTATTGATAGCTTTTTAGGTTTGAATTATTTTTTTTTTCCAAAGAATTTTATCATGATAATTCTGATAGTTGCCAGAGGTCCACTGTGTTCTTAGGAAATGCAGCCATAAACACAGATGCATTCCTTAATTTAGCCAATTAACCGACAATGGTTTTCTCTTTATCTTTCTTAATTACTAACAAGAAACATATTCCTTAAATAAAATAGGTAAAAACACTTTTTAGATCCTTTGCCTAAATTTCTGGTATAAAGCATATTCTCATGAAAGATTTTTTTTCTCCCATGTATTTTGATTCAGCATATTTTAAATCATTATACTTAAAAATATCTTCCAATGACAAATTTTCTAGGATCAAGCTGTATATAGGAAGTCATCTAACCAAACAGAAGCGAGAAGCATCTGGGTGCAGAGCCAGCTCGGCTGGGTTGGTCTGAACCCAGTTTGGCTTCCTATATAGAAAAGTTTTAACCCGAGAATTGTCACAGCAGGGCAGCTTTGCCTCAGCCCATGGGCCGTAGGAACATTTTATGGAAGGGTCAGGGAGCTCTGCTCACCAGCACCCCAAAATGCAAGGATATGCTCTGAGTGATATTGCTTATGAGTGAAGGATATTTTCATTAAACTCTCAATATTAAGTAAAGACATCTCTGCTTCCCAGTAGAGGAGGCATCTCAGAGACTTGGCTCAGTGGAGAAGCAGCTGCCTCTCAGACCACATGACTAGATGCTCTTCAGCTGTTTGCAATAAAAAAAAAATTTTTTTAAACTCTGTAACTAAATTTTGTACAGATAGAGTTGAACTTATCTTTCCTACATGGTTAAAAACTAGATTTTTTCCTTTCATTGGAATTTGACTTTTCTGTTCCTGAGAGAGCCAGTGAAGACTACTTTTAATTTTATTATCCAAGTTTTAACCCAGCACAAAGAAAATAATGTTTATTTTGGAAAGAGATATCCAGTGTGAGCTTATTAAATAGAAAATTAAGGATTTTATTTCTTTAATGTTTACTCTATTGCAGTCATTATTCTAAATTTTTTTATTTCATTTTTAGGAAAAAAAAAAACAAATAAAAATGTGAGTCACCCGTACCTGACTCCGTAACAAATGACACTGAAGGGCTGATGGGTCCATAGCCGTGAGGATTCTTGGCTTGAACTTTAAAGTAATACCTGGAATTGGAAGAAAACATCTTTTGAAAGAGAACTTTATTTGGCTTCTGTGTAATGAAACAGCTTCCCAAACTACTGGCAGGTTTTGAGTTCTAATTTTTACAAATGCGTACACCAAAAATGGGTCTTTGTGTTTTTCTGAACTTTCTCGTTTTTTAATAACATTTCTAAATAATACAATTACTGTGGCATAGCTGCGTGCCTGACGGGAACAGAGGGGCATATCGGACAAGTGGGCTGGAGAGCGTGTGCTCCTGAGAGCACGTGGACCACCCCTGCTCAGCGTGGGCTGTCCTCGGCCCTCCTCATGCGAAGCTCCCATCTGACCTTGCTCTTGTCACAGCCTAAGACCCAGGTCCCAGATGGAGCTCGACAGCTCCAGAGGGAGAAGTTGAAGCAGCAAAACACGACAAGCAGAATTCAAATTGTAACCTGGTTCTTATCACTACAGTCCACGGGGAGAAGCAGAATGTTCGATCCAGCAATGATGCAACCCGTCGTTGGCAGAGAGAGGGCGAACCGGGCCAGAGGTTGGCCTCCGCAGTGGAACTAGCACAACGACGACGTCTTGGGCGCATGAGAAGTGCTATGGTTGGCCCTGCAGCTAGGAATGGGCCTTCTTAAAAGTCACTGAGTTTTGAGCTTCTGTGCCTCAAGGAAAGAAAAACAAGTCCAGGAAAGGGAACAGGAAAAGGTCTGGAGAGAGAGGCTTTGCTGTAGAGCTGAACTCTGCCTTGGAACAGAGAATGTGCTAGAAAGCACACTGTCTGAGTCAGCTAGCTTGTCTAGAGGGAGAATGAGTCTCCACGCGTCTCGCTTTGCACTCTTACAGTTAAAAGACAAGGAGTGGTGGTTAGAAAAACACTGGAGACCAACACCACAGTTGTGACCCACGACATTTATTCCTAATCTTTGTGTTTTCCTCCTCTGGGATTCCAGATGTTTTATGTGCTCTCTTAGTACTTAGCTACTCACAGGTAAAGGGGTGTACAGAATCCTGGCAGTGGTGGCTCTGTCATTTTAGAGAGTTCAGAAGGAAACTTTTCCTCTGGCTTTGGGCCAGTAAGAATGTCACGATTAAATGTTATAGAATTGTTTATTTAAGTCAGGCACACAAATTATATGCACTAATTAAAACGCACTAAATTTTAAAAAGGTAAATTATTTACATGTAAAGAACAAAGGGTTACGCCTGCTGCACCAGCAGCCCTAGCATGGAGCCTTCTGGGCTGCTGAGAAGGCCAAGGCCGCCTCTGGCCTCGCAGTCCATAGAGCTATTTCACTTCGGGTATGATTAAACAGAAAGCAAAGAAAAGCCACTGGGTAAAATTAGTCTTCTTACATCATTCACATTTCATGTACAAGTATTCTTTTTTAAATTTCAATTTTTTAAAAAAACATATGCACAATTAAGAACATATGAGTTTCCAAATCTCAATTCACTCAGCAGTTCGTGTTTTCCCAGTCGTGCATACTTTTATTCAGTGGTCGTGGAGTTATTTAAGGCAAACTCCAAGGCAGTTCAAGCAGTGGGTTTGGCATACATTGGTGAGCCTGGTCAAACTTCACAGATACTTTCTTTTAAAAAAGGAAATCAAAACCTAAGGAAGGACACAAACCCAGGGGCTGCAGGGGACATTTCTGCTAGAATTCTGAAGCCATGGCTGGGACCATCCTGACCCCGTCTCCCGAGCCCCGCAGAGGAAAGCAGTGCTTTGCAACCGGGGAGGTGGCGCAAGCGACACCCGACAGGCCGAGGGAGCCTGTCCAGATGCATGTGTTGGTGTCGATTTTGTCTCACCGCTGACACTCAGGTACTCCCCAAACCTGCGTCCCCTACCGAGACAGTGATTCTAGTCCTCCAGAAACTCACACGTGCCAACTCCAGAGACATATTTCCATTTGAACTTCACCTAATGTGTCAAAGAAATTTAAATATACTGAGCTGAAAAACAACATGAAATTATTAAAAAAGTAAAATCCCCATTTTCGAAAACCACATTAAGCTTTTTCTGTGGACTAAAATATGTTGTTTCCTACTCCTAATGGTCTCCGAGCAACAAAAGCAATCGTGCCTTGCGGCCTTGCCTTCCTATATGAGCTTTTGGCACCTTCTTTAGAAAAGCTTCAATAGTGACAAATCTGTGTACTTCAGGTATGGATTTAAAATATGCAGACTCCACAGTGATGTGGGGCTCAGGCTGGTGGACACGGCAGATAATGCCCGTTCCCAGGGCCATCATGAGCATGAGGACGCAGACGCCAAAGTGAGCCCACCGCAGTCGCTCTGCATTCCGGCGATGCCGCAAAAAAATGAGTGTCCTCACATCACATTCCCACTGTCCTTGATGTGGAAATTTAGCAGCCGTGCAGTGGGTTTGAGGAAATGTTTGCAGGAGCAGCGGCAGCCCCCGTGGGCAGAAGGTAGAATACGGCTGTGATGCGACCAGGGACCCAGAGGACTCTGGCACTGATCTGTCCGGCCTCTCCTCACCCTCAGCCTCACGCCAAATGGCCTCCTTTGCTTCCCAGAACACACCCTCTCTGGGGCATCCTCTCTGCCTGCAGCGATTTGGCCCCACGGCACCCACCTTTTCTCCAAATTACCTGCTTCTGACTGTTCAGACCTTACTTCCCCTGAGAAGCCACCTGACTGCCTTCTCTGCCCCACGCTCAGAGGAAAATAAAGCCCCCTGCTCCGTACTCTCCAAGCGCGCGTGCTCCTCCCTCGCCGCACTGACCGGTGGGCGTTTATAAAAAGAGTCTGTCTCCTCTACCAGACCATAAGCCCCTCCAGGACGGGGCGGTGTGGACTCCACCCACCCTGCCCCAGCCCTCTGCCCAGCCTGGGACGGGCACCTGGCTCTGAGTACACACGCAGCAAGCACTGGCTGAATACCTGTTGCAGGCAGGAACACTGCACCATCCTACACAATCATGTCCCACGTGACTCAAAACGCAACTTCAGCCCGGCAGCAGAGGTTGCGGAGGAGCACTGCACTGGGGGAGTTGGGAGGCTGGGTTCAAGCTCCATGGCAAGTAGCCCTGGGGCCCAACCTCCCGAAGGCCTTCCGCTCTTTGACATTGCGGCTGTGCTACAAATTGTCACTCTGCACACAAGAAAGCCAACGGATGTGAACTGCATTTTCTCTAATTTTGTATTTTTGTTTCCTCTAGTTAATCAATTTTCCATTACTCTTAGGGAAAAATAAAGATGAGTGCTTTCTCAGTTTCCTGTTTTACTACTTGCTTTTTATTTGCCAAATCCTGAAATGCATCGTGGTTTACGACAGCTCAGTGCAAGAGAGCCCAACAGGCACGTTGAAGTGTCCCGAGGAACATCCTCAGCTCGTTCAGCCGTCTCCCCACGCCCATGCACAGTGTCCAGATTCCACCTCCCATACTTCTGTTTCATGAGCGTATTTTGGTCCAGCCTTCTCCGTCCCCCGCCCGTGTAGGGAACTAGAGGCCTGGGCACCATCGTCACCTTGCGCCCTCTGCTCGGCACACATGGTGGCTGGGCACAGCAGCGTATGCTGGAGCTGCTTGCACAGGCTGGAGAACAATCGCTAAACACAGGAACTCTGCCAGCCCATGGCAGCTTGAAATTGGCCAGGGTGGGAGTATTTACACCTCAGAAATTGGAAAACGTTACCAACCAAGAATTGTTTTCCACTGAGCCAGTTTACCAGCGCACCACTGCCTGACCACCATGTTCACCCACCAGAGCAGCTTTCTGACGGCCACTACCATCCACACCAGAGAGCACAAAAGAGGGATGAACATCACTCTCTCTGTACCCCTGGAAACCAGTTTTGCCTATTTCGCACTGAGGGCTGTAAACTCTGGCTTTCCGCATGGTGCTCTGGCCAGCCAGCCGCCCCTACTGAGAAAGGCATGTTTGTAACCTTTATCCGTGTGTGCAAAGCATCCTTCTGGAATGGTCTGAGCTTCTACGTCACAGAGTTTGAGTACCAGTTAACTAAAATGTTTAGCAATTGCTGCTCCATGAATGTCACGTATGAAGTTGCATTGCCTAACGCCACCACATGGGTGACTGAAAATGGACCAATTCTCTTTCGACGCACAGAACAATTTTCTTTCCTCAGTGGCAGGTAGTGTTTAGGAAAATTGGGAATAAAATATAAACACAAACACCTAACAATTACAATACATACAGTAATTTCTCCTAAGAAAATTACATAACATATGGTAAGCATTCATTGACATTCTGTGAGAAGCAGAGAATTCAAAGAAATCATAAAAACGTTTTGATTAACTCTTTCATTTTCAACCAAAGGATATCTGTGACCGTGCACATGGTCTCATCTTTTGTTTCTAAAAGACTCACACATCATACCTTGTGTTTGGCTTCAGGTTCTCAATGGGCAAATGAGTCATGGATGAAGCTTGGGTGGACCACTTGTTTCTGATGAAGTCTTCATAGGAAGCGCTATAAACCAGGTAACCTGAACACGGAAACAGGGAAGAACCCAGTGAGCGCCGAGGGACCCAATCACACAGAAGGTGTAACCCGGTGAGAACACAGAGTGAGGCAAAGCCAAGACTGACTCTGTGGGAGAAATTCTGGCACAGCAAGCCCCTGGGGACAGGGTGGAACATAACAATGGCACCTCCTGGTGAGTGAATCCAGACAGGGACAATGAATGAAAGCTCTTCCTGACAACTTGCTAGTTCACTACTTCTTCCTTCTCTGGCCCCCTCATTCCCTGACCTCCCCCATCTCCTCAGAACTAGAGCACATCTAGTCTTGGCTGCATAGAGAAAAAAGCAGCAGAAGAAAAAAAGGAGTGACCTCCACACACATATTTAAGAATTTCCAGGTAGAGACAATATACAATTGTCCTGCACAGGAAACCAAGAGTGTTGGCAGTGAATGCTATGCATGTGTGTGTGGCTGAAAGACCCAGACTCCCAGCGACCCCTCGTCCATTGGGTGAAGGCTGTCCCTTGATCGCTCCTTGTTGAGTAGACCTGCACCTGCCTTGGCCTTCTCTAATGACAGCTGTCAGGCAGCACTTCTTTCTATCATCCAACCTGCTCTGTCTCATCGGCTGATGTCAGACCTCAGCAGGTGGCTCTACACCCTGACACCTGTCCAGCCTTCACGCCTGCCCCAGGGGACAAAGTGAAGTTCATACCACAGCTCAGCACGTCCTTTATGCTAGGTTTCTCACGTGTATACAGAAGAAGAAAACATTTGTATGTGCCAAACCTTACTCTAAGCACTTTCACTTAAGTTTTATTTGGATTAATTCTCACAATCCTAGTGTGCAGGCACTGCTATCCCTATTCTGACACGTGAGGAAACTGAGTCTTAGAGATCGGTTAAATATCTTGTCTGGGTTCACATTCATCGATTCATTCAACAAGTATTTATTATGCGACTCCTATTTGCCAGACACTACACTACATATGGGGATAAAATGGTGACCACGAACTCCTGGAGCAGCAGGGGCCACATACAGAGCATATGGCCGCATCGGCGCTCTGCAGGGCCAGTCCATGGTGCTTCAGGAGGGTGTGCAGGGACAGCTGACCCCATGGAGGACATGAAGAGCTTCCCTGAGCTCCCAAAAATGGAGCTGATCTCTGAAGGATGAGAAGCAGTTAAGACGTGGTAGGAGGTGGGAAGAGCCCCAGGTACAAGGAATCCCTGGGCAAGATGTGAAGGAGGGAGGAGCCAGGAGAAGGCACATGGCTGAGCTGGGAAGTGGCAGGGCCAGGGACAGGCAGGAGCTAAGGCTGAAGCAGCACAGAACAATAAAACTAGGGAACGCCTTTAGGGCATGCTAGGCTTTTGCTTTTCACTATAAAAGAAAGGGAAAGACATCAAAGGGGTGACACAGTCCAGTCGGGTGTGCGTCTTCAGTGCACCTCTCCTGTGCAGAGAGAGAACGGACTGGCTGTGGAGTGTGGGCATGGAGGGGGCCAGTCCAGTTAGACAGCTCTCGCCGTGGCCGGGAGAGAGATGGCAACTGTTGGATTAACATGGTCGTCAATGGAGAGAAATGAATGGGGTCCAGAGAAACTGGGGAGGTAACACTTAAGAACCGAATATGGAGGTGAGATAAAAGAAGGAGATCTGAAGAAGACTCCAAAGCTTCAGGCTTGCACAACGTGTGGGAAGCGAGACCATTCCCTGCAACAGGAAACGCAGATGAAGACCAGGCTTGAGGATCGCAAGGACCATGAGTTTGACTTTTCATACGCTGACTCTGAGATGCTTTGGAGACATCCCAGTGATGACGTCAAGTGATTTTACTATTTGCATCTGATTTTACTGTGTGCGGCTCAGAGGAGAGGAGGGCCCAGCCTTGACTTATAAATCAATGACTCATCTCCAAGAAGAAGTAAAACCACGTACATGGACGAGACTCTGTGGGGAGAGAGGACAGGGCAAGAAGGAAGGAAGACCCAGGACCGAGCCTTGAGAAACCCCACCATTCAACGTCGGGGTGGATGGGGGTAAGCCCGCACGGGCATGGAGAGCCTGAGAGAACTGGGTCACGCAAGACAAGGGGGAGGGGAAGATCGATAGCCTCTTAGCCTTTTGGGACCTGCTGCTTTTCCTCCATATTGCAGGGCCGGCGTCACGTGCTGAAATGTTCCACGGCAGGCAGTTGGACAGGCGTTGGCGGTTTTATGTTGGGAGGGCCCAAATCCCTGTAGACACCTCACCCACATTGTTTATGCAGTGTCGTGAGTACTCACAAGCAGGGCACTGAGCTTTCGTTTCAGATTAGGTGTAGGATATGCGAGGGATGAAAGGACACTGAAGTTTCTAGGAAGCTTTGGACAGCTTGGAATGCATGGCCGGAACCCCGGGGAGCAAGAGTATAGGTGTTTCCAAAGCTTGACCTCTGCAGGATAACACGGAAATCGTGTCTGAGTTGTGCCTCAGAGGCATTTGTTAGGAGTTCCTTGAAGGCTCTTTTTTCTCTGCAAGAGCCTTTGAGGCATGTTTAATGTGGCCAATGCTCTGGTCCTGCAGCCAGTGTTTCTTCGAAGCCCCTTGGCTCAGGGCGCAGCGATATATTTATGTTAAGTAATATCTGTCATGCAAGAGATCAAAAGCTAAATAGCTTAAAATAAGATTTTCAATTATTTTTTCTGAATGTTTGCTTGCTTTTAAAAATTGCCGTTCAAAAAGGCACATTCAACAAATAAAAGGGTTTTCTGGCTGTTTTGACTACAAGCTTTCCTCCTTCCAATGATTTATTTGCATTCTATTAGGAACATACTGGACTTCACAGAAATTGGTCTCAGCAGCCCGTGTAGCACACACCCTGGTGTGACCAGCACCAGAGACTCAAAATCCCTAACGCTGCACGCCCCCTGCACCCCCGGGCCTTTCGGCCTCCCCTGGCACCATACCGAGGGGCATTCTTTCCCTGTGTCCTTTACTGTGGCTTTGGGCTGCTGTGTAAATTCCACAAAAGAAGTTACTCTTTGGATATACTTGGACATTTTTTCTCATTTTAAGAGATAATTTTGGGAAAATAAAGCAAAAGCACTAGAAATGTTGAATTATATGAACTATACTAGCATAATAGCGACAGCTGATGTCAAACTCCAACCTGTGATGCCACCATCCCCAGCCCAAGACACATACACCGCGTCACACATATATCCTTCCTCTTATACAGCTCATGGGCCCAGTAGGAATCATTTGCAAAGGAAGATTATTCAAAGAAAATATTGATTCTCTTTCTATAAAAACTTATTTTAAGATTTATCCTCAAATATATCCTTGCCAGAGTCACATGAACTCATGAACATCTCAAAGGCCAAGACCTAGAGGGGCTTAAGATCCTTGGGAACTGTTCCATCACATTCAATTCCCACACAAGAAATTGAGAAGCATTCAGCCTGGTTTGGAAGCACCCAGCAGGCATGGAAAGATGCAGAGGCATGATCCCAGGGCTGACTCTGATGCAGGGCAGCTGCGCGGCACAGCAGGAGCTCTGTCATCACCCCCGCTGCAGGACCGGGTCTTACAAGTGGCTGCCTGGACTCCCTGGCCATTTGCAGGATTATAGAAGGTTAGAGATGTGATGATATTTTGCACATGGGGAAACAAGGCCCAGGAAGATGAAGTAACTAGCTCAAGGTCAAGCAAATCAATCTGGGACTAGGATTCAGGACTTCTGACTTCCATCCAGTGCTCTGTACACTACCCCACAAGGCTTCTGTTGTTGCCTACATTTCATCCTGTTGAAAGAAGACAGCTGCACTCATCCATCCAACACACCGCCATCCTCCCATGCATGCATCCGTCCACTCATCCATCCATCCCTTATGGTCTTACTTCCCACCTACAGATCATGGGAACTCTGACTCTCTGCCTAGGACATACCTGTTACCACATCTCCCTGGGTGGCTTTGTCCCAGTCCACAATGACAAACGAGTGGCAGCCTTCCATAGCGACCACGGTGATGTTGCGGGGGGCATTCTGAGGGGGCAGGTCACTCTTCCTCATGTCATTCGGGATGATTTCATCCAGGCTGTCCACTTGGAAGTGATCCAGAGCATCGGTCAGAGAGCACGGAGCTGATGGGTCTTTATTTAGGTACGTCACATAAGGAGCTAGAAAGGAACAGAGATACCCAATTGCATTGCTGAAGGCCTACAGCATCTGCTCCATAGAGTGAGACCCACCATTCCGTCTCTCCCCACCAGACAGAGGCTCCAGAGCCCCCAGCCTCAATGCCAAGCTCAAAAGCACATCCCTGCTGGTGGGACTGCAAACTAGTGCAACCTCTGTGGAAAGCAATATGGAGATACCTTAAAGAGATACAAGTAGAAGTACCATTCGATCCAGCAATCCCATTACTGGGCATCTACCCAAAAGAACAAATGATACTCTGTAAGAAAGACACCTGCACCCGAATGTTTATAGCAGCACAATTCACAATTGCAAAGATGTGGAAACAACCCAAGTGTCCATCAATACATGAGTGGATTAATAAAATGTGGTATATGTATACCATAGAGTACTATTCTGCTTTAAGAAACGATGGTGATATAGCACCTCTTGTATATCCCTGGATAGAGCTGGAACGCATTCTACTAAGTGAAGTATCCCAAGAATGGAAAAACAAGCACCACATGTACTCACCATCAAATTGCTATTAACTGATCAACACGTAAGTGTACATATAAGAATAACATCTATTGGATGTCGGGCAGGGGGGAGGGGGGAGGGGGGAGGAGGAGACGGGTATATGCATACACAAAGAGTGCAATGCGCACCATCTGAGGGATGGACACACTTGAAACTCGGACTTGGGGGGGAGGGGCAAGGGCAACATACATAACCTAAACATCTATACCCCCATAATATGCTGGAAAAAAAAAAAAAAAAGCACATCCCTGGGTCTCCTTAATGGATCTGTGTGTTTATATCTTTCCATCTGGTGGTTTCAAAAGATCCTACTGACAATCAGCATCGATGACTATGTCCTCAAAGTGATTCTGAAAAATCCCCAAACTATAATTCAGTGTAATATAGTTTCCTGTGCTCAAACATTTGGAAAAGTGTGAGTCAGGCCCACCCTACACTTCACTAGCATTCTCTTAATACAGTTCATTCCTCAACTATCTTGGAACCAGAAAATATCTACATACTGGTCAAGATGTACAGCCTCTAACCTCAGCCCTGGGTGGCCTTCCTTAGAGTTTCACAACCCCCCACAAACATCTGGAGTAGCTGTGCATAAGGCCAGGCCTGGACAGCTTTCTACAACACTGATTCTCAGTGTACTAACAGCTACTCACATTTGTGGAAAGACTGAAGCCTTTTCTACACATACTATTTTGGTGGCTACACGATCCTGAGAACATGGAAGGATACAGACGGATGTCCCCATGTTACTGCCTGCCAGCGCTGGGTGTGCCCACTAAGTAAGGGTCGATCCGGAGACTCTCTACCGCTAGCCCTCAGCGCTTTCTCATACCCCACCCTCTATGAAGTTAGAAATGTCAAGGAAATGAGGTTGGGGCTTCCGACATGCCAGACTCTCAAGTACCAACGTCTAGTAATTTCTAAAGATTCCATTTCACGTTTCAGTGCTAGGTTCTCGTTCCCAGTTGGCTGTTAGCACTGGATGCAATTTTTAGCTTCTTTATTTTCCAGTAATTAGTCTGAAATTAGACTGTTAGGACTTGTCGATGGATCTTATCCGAAAGTGTGGGGGAGTAGGCGATTATGCTTTACAGAGTGACAGACATAGGAAAACAGGCAGACAACAGCAAGCCTTTCAGTGTTTAGAGGAGTTCTGCAAAACAGTTAATAACAGCACAGAAAGCGTTTCTATTCCTGCCACGGAATTGCAGAGCGAGAAGTCAGCATTTGGCAAAGGCAGCCAGGCAGCTGCATACCGTGGCCAGCATTAGCGCTTGCCTCAGGAATGCTACCTCAAATTAATACTCTTGTTCCTCAAGTCCGTGTGGTTTAGACACTCAATCACTACATCTCGGCTGGCAAGAGCTGCTCTCCGCTCATGGCAGAACATTTGTTTTGGAAACAGAAAGTGTGATATTGGTTTAAGCTATTGCTTGTCTCCACTCAGTAACATATTAATCCAACTGCCTCATTAATGAAGTTCGTTAAGGGCGTGGGAAAAGAAGACTTGCAAAAGGAACGAAACACAGTTCAGTTACAGAGAAATTCCTATTGAAATTGTTTTAATGACTGAGAAACAAGAATAAGATGAATCTCTAAATTCCAAATCCTTGAGGCTAATGAAAATTATAGGCAATAACTAAACAAAAACAGCTTTGGTTCTGTGATACTGCAAGCGTTAGTGGCTCAAGTCCGTAACCTGCTAACCTTTTAGGAAGAATTTAGCCAACAATAGCAGATAAGGCCTAGTGGTAAGTCTCGTCTTAGGAAAGCTAGCTGCAATAAAAATGCTCATGTCCCTTGCTCCTGAGGACCTGTGTTTCTTACTCTTAGTCTACACAAGGCAGCCTCTGCAAACTGTCCTCTGTTGGATACCAAAAGTCCTCCTGCATCCTCCCCCGCTTCTGACTTTTGCAGAAAGCAAGTTAATATGCATCTCAACAGGACTGACTCACTAAAGTACCCCAAATGGAAATTTTACTCTGGGAAAATTCAAAATGCACTGCCTTGGCCAGGCCAAGAGATTAGTTACGCTCTTCTTCAAAGAGCAAAAGTTAAAAACTCATGTTTCTCTGATTAAGGAAGTTATACTTACCAACAAATCGTTTCTTTCCAGCCAGATCAAATTCTTCTTGAGGAAAGGAACTGATGGTGCCTTCTTCTGGGATGACCTTTGGTGTAGTTGTGGCAGCAGTGGTCGAAGGCTTGGTGGTGGCTGGTGGCCTCGAGGTCTCAAATTCATAATCTGAAATGATATGAAGGCTCTGTCATTGGGCCCTGCCAGAAAAGGGGCATCGTTTACAGTCACATGATGCCATCTTAAGATTCAGCTGTAGACTGAAACACACACCAACAGCCTAAAATAAAAGCTATGTCTAGACATAGTTTGTTTCCACTAAAGTACTATTTCTTCCCATTTCAGTCCTCACAACAAAGTGGCTTCAGATAAAGAGAGAAGGGGAAAAAAGAAACACACATGACCAGAAAAATGAAGTTTTATAATCAGAGATGGAGAGAACCTTCAAATCCATCGGTTCAGCTCGTGGTACTGGCCCAAGGCCATTCTCTACCTGCATCATTCTCCCTTTTAGAGCCACGAAAGATCACATCAGAAAATCAGCTTGAATTTTTTTCTTAAAAGCTATCTTCTGTGTATGGGTTTTTTTCTGGGGAGGGAGGTAGGATTAATCCTGCCGAAAGAACTAATCCTTTAACATTTGAAAAAGAAAATGAAACTCTGCCCCCCTTTCAAACTGTTCAAAGGCAATAAGAAAGATGGTTAGTATTTTCAAAGGTGCTAAGAAATCTTCCTTTGCTTTCTGACATCTGCTGTTTTTAAGTCAGTTTTTGTTTGAAAACCTTGGATTAAACCACTGCATCAAGATTTACTGTGAATAAATAAAGCGCCAAAGGTGGCATTATTCACACAGTTGTGATTTAAGACAGTTGGAGCTAGGAAGAGTAGCAGAAAAGGGGAAGCACGCAGGTGAGAATCCTGAGCCCCAGTGGCAAAGGGCGGCACCAGGTGTGGACAAGATTCCTACGTGAACTCCATCAACCACACAGGCGACTTCTAAAGCAAATGAAACGATCACGGGGTCTCAAGTTTAATAACAACATTAGTTACCATTCATTGAGTGACTGCTCCATGCTGTCCAAGGCATTCTGTATTCTTAGTCTTATAAATTTACCCTTGCAATGATTCTACGACAAGAAATCAATACATCTACAGCACCGTATTTTTTATGTAATTAGAAAAGGAGAGAAAAGGAAGAAGGAGAAAGAGAAGAGCCACGTGAAAAAGCCGGGACGTTGGATAAACTGAGCAGTTTTACAAATGAAGGAGGAGGGAGCCCGGACAGGGCGCTTGATCATCTCTTGAGTCGCGGAGGGTTGGGAGGGAGAGTACAGGGAGCACATGGGACTTCTTGGGAGGCTGTGTTTGCTGTTTCTCTTTAATTAGCACCTCTTTAATCGTATGCACCTGGGGTGACTAAGCCGTGCAGAGTTCTGAAGGGAGCTGCCATCAAGATCATCCACTTAGTCATTAAAACAAGATCCTCTGATCAGGAAGGAAAGTGTCTAAATAATGTTTTAAAACCCAGTTCATACCGTCATCGTATACAACGTAGGCCTCTTCCGTGGGTGTTTCCGTGTCCGTCTCCAAGCCTGAGAATTCGTCTAGCGGAGAAAGAGGGGAGGCATCACCCACTGTTTCCCCATCAGCCGCTGCCCAGGCGCAGCCCCAGGGTAACAGTTCATCCCCAGGAGCAGTCTCCTTAGCTTTTGCAGAAGGAAAATCACCACGACGCTGGAATGGAACCCACACTTTCTCTCCTCCAGGCTCAGAAAAGGGCAATCCACATGCCTTCCCCACTCAAGAGCAAACAGTTCTTCTGCGTTCCCACAGCACTCTCCATCCTCCGCCCTCCACCCCCCACCAGCCTGCCCGCCCTGGGTGCCAGGGAAGGGCCTTCTCAGAGGGCAGCCAGGAGAGTGGGGAGAGTGAAGCTTGGTGCTAATGATGGTGGCAAAAATCCCCTCGCATGTGAACTTCTCTGTTCATCAACCTTCATTCCCTCCATTCCCTCGATCTTGCTCTGGAATATTCTAGAAGCAGGGTGATTGTCCCAACTAGGCCAACTGCATCGATGGGAGTTCCCTGTGCTTTTCTACTTCCCTCTAACCTCCCACCCCTTCTCATCAACTCAGGAGATAAATCTGGACTTATCAGATTGCTTGATTTGCATATGAAGTTTGGAAATACTATTTCAATGATCACAAAGTTCTCTTTACAGACAGGTTGGGCTTAATAACCACTAGATTTATCAGGGCTACAGGATTATGCTTTAAATGCAACTTATAGAATTTTAGATGTGATTTTTTGGATATCTTCCAGGAAACCCTACTTAGAACTTTTATTAAAATTCCTGTAATGACTGAACTAATATTATGAGCATGAGTAACACGTGGTCAAGAAAGGTGAGTGATCTAAGCATAACAATGCATTTTTGCCTCTGCTATCTGGGTAGTTTAAGCAGAGGTCTTTTTGAGCAGGTGCGATGGTATCAATTACATTATTCCTCTGCTTGGAGGATACAGATGTGGCTATCAAAAGGAGAACATCTCACTGTGGTTGATAAAATCTGGAGGCAAAAAATTTTATAACTCAAAAAATTCAAAGGAATTCCTTCCCTTTTTTTGACCCCAAGCCCACATCAATTACATAGAACTCTCTAACTCACTGCACTCTTCAAAGGGGGTGAGGTGGGAGACAACAGGAAGAAATAACCATGATTTGTTGGACGCCTTATATGCAGCAGCCACTTTTATGTATACATTGTTCGAGTTAATCCTCACAACAAACCCTCAAGGTTCGTTGGGCTTATAATACCCACACTTCCCAGGCAGGGGCAGCAAGGCTCTGAGAGGATTTACGACGTGCCTGGAGACACACAGATGGTGAATGACAGCAAAAACAGAACTTAAACTTCAAGCCCTCTGGCTCTAAAGACCATGTACTTTATACTTCATAAAACTGCCTCCATTTTTTAAAAGTTGAACTAATCAATCAAATTCTTTCTGAGGCTTAAGGTGCTCTATTAGAATCATCATTCCACAGTGCAGTGAAAGGGAAATTGAGGTAGAAAGTATGTAAACTCCAATATAATTATTCTACCAGTCTTTTTTTTTTTTGAGCCCACTTCGAATAACATCATGAATGTGATGTTGCCAGAATAAACTCCACCGGCAGAGGACAGCGACAACCTCATGTTGTCTGTCCCGTCTTCCTGTAGGCCACGGTAAGAAGCCCCCAGGCTCCATTCAGACGCCCAAGAGACACTCCTTGAGGTGGTGACTCAGGCATGTTCTGATGAGGCCAATGAATGTCAACAAGAGAGAAAATGCAAATTATCTACCCGTTACGGGCAGGATGGCCATTTCATGCAACACTATTAAACATGGCTTTTCCTTAGGGCATTCCAATGTCAATATGCCCGGATCCAAGACAGATTACTTCTGGGCCTGTTCAAATCGGACCGTTTTCAGGTCCACATGCCCCAAAGTTCGGGATTATCTTGCCATTGTTTCCTGGCCTACCATTTTCTTTCCCTTGTCAATTTAATTTTTAGAAACATACTCCTGCTTTTCCTCATTATCGGTTCAGTTGCATTTCTTCTCATTATTGCTTTTAGCCAAGTCAAAAATGAATACACTGTGCAGCGTTTGCATCCCAGGATAAACAAGGAAAGGGGAAAGTACATCATTTCCTTCACGGATTCCGGTGTTAACGGTAATTCCTTAAGGTGCTGAAATGCTCCAGCGCACGCAGCAGGCCTCAGAAATGCAAACCAAGATCACCTCTTGAGATGAGTGACAGTAAATCCTCTGGGATAAGGAAACATCTTACTGAGTGATTCAGTGCTCTTTTTTTTTTTAAGGCCAAATAAACGCAGGCATAATTTTTCTAAAATAGCACCATGCTGACTCCAAGTAAAAGTCACTTCCAGATGTAATGAAGTATATTTACAATTTTTTAAAAAGGCTGACCACATGAATTTGCCCCACCAGGATGCCATTTTGAACCATTTGGAACTACATAAAACTGGATGTTTTATATTAATAAGTCCACCTGGCATCAATGGTAAAAGTCTCAATCTTGTCACATAAAAGTAGCTGTGAGCCATCAACTATGGTAGTGTAGTTTATTCTCTTCAGTAGATTATCCAAATAGTTAGTGAAAAATGTCACCAATGAATTAAGGCCTTAGCTCCAGAAATAATCAAAATATGTGAAAAAAATTATTCTCAGTAGAAGTTTAGAGAAAAAAGAGTTTAAATGACAGCCATCTGACACTCAAGTATGTTTGCACATTGTACGGTTGGTCCAGCTCAAATGAATTGTCAGTTCTTCCCTTTGTACTTTCTGTCTTGAGAGCAGGCTGTGGTGGGGCAGAGCCATTTTCTGTAATGACTGATGTTTTCCTGTAACATGCAACAAAGTCACTTTACAAATTCTTGAAGATGTTCAGCTGTCTGGTCACATTTCCAAACGTACACGATATCACCAGATCTGTAGACACAGAACCTGAAAGACAAACAGCACCAACTTTTACTCTTCAGTTAGAAAATGGAGCATGCCTGTCTCTTAGGTGTTGTTTAGATACCCAAAGATGCATAATTAGGCACCACAAGGAATTAGGGATGAAGCAGAAGACATTGTCTCAACTGCAAGGAGCTTATTACCTAATGGAGAAGTCGGATCAGACTGAGCAAAAACAAAACAAAAAAACAAAAGCAAAAACACCCAGAAAAACCACGAGTATGTGTAGAGAGAGAGAAAGATATGCAACAACAATGCACCAGAACAATCACATAACGTGTGTCTCTGTCTATAGGAATCTACACACAAGGACGACACCCATGACACATGAGGACGTGCACATAAATGTAAGTGTTGGTGAAGATGTAGAGAACGTGGGACCCTCAGACATTACACGTGGGCATGTAAAATGGTGCAGCTGCTGAGGGAAAACACTTTGGCAGTTCTTTAGAGGGGTAAACGTTACCACTTGACATAGCAATTACACTCCCAGCTATATACCCAAGGGAACTAAAAACAGGTATTTGGAAAAAAACCTTGTACGTAAATGTTCATAGCAGCGTTATTAATAATAACCAAAAGGTGGAAATAACCCAAATGATCATTGACTGATGAATGGATAAAAACTGCTATATCCGTATGTATGATGGAACAGACAGAATGAAGTAGTGATATATTCTACAATGTGGATGAATCCTAGAAACAATTCTGCTAAGTGAAAGAAATCAGACACAAAAAGCCACATATTATATGATTCCATTTATACGAAATGTCTCGAATAGGTAAATACACAGAGGGAGGAAGTAGATTAGGAGTTTCTAGGGGCTGGGAGGAGGGAGGGGTGGGAGTGACTGCGAATGGGGACAAAGTTTCTTCTGTGGGTGATGAAAATGTTCTGGAATTTGACAGTGGTGGCAGTTGCACAACTCTGAATATAATAAAAACCACTAACTTTAAAAGGATGAACTTTATAGTATGTGAATTATATCTCAATAGAGCTATTAAGATTTTTTAAAAATTTAACTTCTTACCACAAAAAAAATAATAAATTATCACTTTTAAGAGAAAAGAATAATACTAACAATATGGGGGAAGGAAACGTTGGGAGGTGACAGATGTGTCCTCGGCCTGGGTGAGGACGGTGGTGTCCCGGGTGTATTCTTACACCGAGCTCATCGAGGTGTGGATTAAATATGTACGGCTTGTTCTGTGCCAGTCATACCTCAATAAACTGGTTTAAAAAGATTAAAAGATAAAATTAACTATGATTAGAATTAATACAAGAAAGAAAATGTTAAAGTTGTTAGTGGCAACAGAAATAAAAAAGGAAGAGAAGCCACACAGAAGTATTATTAAAATAATAAATTATAGTACATTAAAATATCATATGAGGATGGTTTGTTGCTGTCCCCAAATTTAATTTTTTCCCAAGACTTTGCACTGATTTGTACTTATTTTCAAAATGTTGACCTTCAGCTTGGACTAGGGAACCAGGAGACCAGATAGGAGTGAATGTGTATATTATCATTTGCAAAGAAAAGAAGAAACAAAAATGCCAAGAAAAAATATTGACTTTCATGCCAAATAAATGTCCAAAAATACAAAGTAAATAAAAACACACTAGAAGGCCTAAATAAAAGCAGACGAAATAAAGTGCAAAATAACAGCAATAGAAAGTAAAACCAAATCCAAAATAGTCACTCTTTTGTTTCCAACCAATTATTAAGTAATTGTCTGTTTTAATTATACCTCAATCTTTAAAATTAAGCACATTAATGTATGCAGAAGAAGTCAAGGAAAGTGACATAATGTTTTAATAGAAGAAATTCAAGGGTAAATTCAAATTTATACTCACAGGCTAAACGGACAGCAAGAATTTTCTTCCCAATGGTCTTCTTCCTTCATGTTTCCTTGTTCTTCGGTGCGAATTTTTTAGACGTGTCAAGTTTTCCTGCTTATTTGGACCTTTTCCATGGGAAGACTAACTTCAAACAGAATTCTCATGTTGGATACAGCATTCACGTTCAAACTGATTGTGCTTAGCGTGGTTAATGATTTGCTGGTTAAGAATTTCAGGTGTGCAAATGATTCCTGAAATGAAGGCTCCTCACTTTGCCTTAGTTTAGAAAGACATCAGCTTTATAGCCAACACTGTAATTCATTTCAAACCGAGGAAAAGAAGATGAATTTATCTCCTCCGTGCCTGGTGCAAATCTAGGATGATTTCTTCCAAAACAGTTTGAACAGGGGACTGAGTGGAAGGATGGACGAAGGTGTTCTGGCTCCTACTCTTTACGGAGAATGAGCTGCTCTCAGAAGGAAGACAGACCCGCATCAGGCAGCAGGACAGCCCAGACCAGGATGGCAAAGCAGGGAAAGGCACGTCCTGACCCAGCTGAAAGCCCAGGCTCCCACAAGAAGGCTGGCATGTGAGGGTTAGCGTTTTCCAAGGGGAGCGCTGCTCAAAAAAATGTTCATCTGCCAAACGTGATTGAGAAATACTACTTTTCTTGGAGATTCACAACAAGACTATTCAATGATCTAAATGTTCCAACAGAAAGAAATTTATCCAACCTGTAGAAATCACGTAGTTAATCACAGAACCTTCTTTTAAAAAAAAAAAAATAAACAACTACTAATCTTCTAATATCCATTGGAACACACTTTGGGAAATGCTAGTCCAAACTAATAATGTCATCAGTTTCAGCTAAATTTTTGACTTGGGTTGTGATAAGAGTTGCCAGATTAAACACAAGATGCCCAGTTAGCTGATTTTAAATGAACAGCAAATAACTTTTCCATATAAATATGTCCCACGCAATATTTTTATTTGCTAAACCTGACAACCTTAGCTGTGGCACAGTACTGTCAAACGCACCTGCTGGGATTAAAAACGCTTCTCCTGCTGCCCTGCTGTGCACAGCACTCACCCTCCCCTGCAGGTTTCGCCATGCTACTCTGGAATGCCGCATGCTCGTGCACCGGGCAAGGGGGCACCAATAGAATCAGACAGGTTACCTTCCTCGGGGTAGCACTCCGGGATCCCATTTGAGCCCATTATCAGGTTGCCTCCATTGTCACGCTGCTGCAGGGTTCCAGGGGGACAGGTGGGGACCGGGGTGGTGGGTTCAGGGGTGGTGGTGGTCGTTGTCCGCGTAGTGGTTCGGATTGTGGTCGTTGGGCGCATAGTGGTTGTGCGGCGGGTGGTGGTTGTGCGGCGTGTGGTGGCGGTCGTGGGCCGCGGAGTGGTGGCAGTCGTGGGCCTTGGGGTCGTAGTGGCAGGCAGGGGTGTCGTAGTAGTGGTAGGCCGCGTGGTTGTGGTGGGGGGATGGGTGGTTGTTTTGATGACCTCCAAGCCCACCAGGGGCTTCCCACCAAGACTCAAAATTGGCTTATCCTGGGCACTGGCCAGGGGTGTGCCGTGTCGCCCCTGCCCAAAGAGGGGGAGGCCGTCTGGACTCACCACGGGGGTCCCTTCCAGATCTGAAACAAAATCAGCCGAGAGCCACGCAAGAAGGTGAAACAATCCACAGAAAATAAGAGCAGGTGATAAACACCTTCCCGGAGCTCACGCATGGTTATGTTTCAGGCAGTGAAAGGCAAAGAGATAATTATCATGCATGATAAAAAGGACAACAGCTGAGGCGGCAATATCTACTGCTGTCCGGAAATTCCTGGGCTTATTCTAGTGTTTACTGCTCTGCATTACCGCACATAAATATGTAATATTTCATGAGTGTGCCCGTTATGCTGAGATAACTCTCAGTGTCTAGCCAAGGAGGTAATTCTTGCGCCTCCTCTCTCCTATTCCTAAGGAGGAAAGTGCTACTTCCAACCAGGAGCGGCAAACTGTTTCTGTTAAGGGCAGGGAGTAAATATTTTAAGCTTTATGGGCCAGATGGTCTCTGTTGCAACTACTCAACTCAGCTCTTGTAGTGCAAAAAAGTCAACAGGCAATACGTAAATCACACATAACAAATGAATTTGACAATGCATAAATAAATGTTACTGTGTTCCAATAAAACTTTGTGTATGGACACTGAAATGTGAATTCTAATCATTTTCTTCTTTTTTTAGCAATCATTTAAAAATGTAAAAACTATGCTGAGCTCCTAGGCCTTAGAAAAACACGCAGCAGACAGGGTTTGGCCTGCAGGCCATCGTTTGTAGACCCCTCCACTAAACTGCCCAATTTCAAGAACAGAGTATAAAGACACATTTTCTAGAGGGCGGAGGCTGCAGGAAAAGTAGAAGTAAAGCTGCATGATGGAAAACACTGAGTTCTACCTCTTTCGAGGCTCTTCTGCCCACGTGACTAAAAGTAACAGGACCAAGGACAACCATTAAAAAGGAAGGAGTGGAGAAGTTGTTACTCTACAACTCTTCAGTAGACTTTTGTTCCTTAAAAGCCATTCTCACTTACCCACAATGGTCCGGCCATCCCCTCCCAGTTTAACCCGAAGAGGATTTCCATGTGAATCCTGGAGGTACCTTCCTTCTGCATTCAGTACTAACCCACGATCAAGGTCCACAACCTGAATCCGTGACATAGATTAAAGAATACATTGAACGTTCCAAAACATTCACATTAGTTCAACTACATGAACATATGCACGAGTAGGACATATTATTTTTGTCAGTATAATTATAAGGTTTAAAAAAATAAAGTATAAACCAGTTATATTTCATATTATAATTGCTTACCCATATAATTTATAAATTGTTTTAAGTTTCTCATCTATACAAAAGATGTTCAAAATATTTTTACCATTAAGTACATTATGTCTAATGCTGGAAAACAGAAAACAACACAAGTGTCTATCAATTGAGGGAAGAGACTAAATAAATTATGGCCCATCCATGTGGCAGAATACTATGCAGCCAATAAAAAAGATAAGGGAATTCTACATATATTGACCTGTGCTGAACTCAGATTACGGGGATGATTATTTTGCAAAGATAAAAATATATTAATTTGTGTGTATATAAGCTTAAGACTGCAGAGAAAAAAATTCTGGAAGGATATACCCCAAACTATTAACAGTGATCATCACCAAGAAGTAGTTGGGGGTTGAGGATGCTTATTTTCTTTTTCATACATTTCAGAATTGTTTTAACTTCTTGCAATGAACATATATTTTTAGTATATTAAAAACATGTTTCCATTTGTTGTTAATATTAAAAATCAATGTTGGTATAGCTAAAAGAATATAATTTGCAATAATATTGCCTAAAATACTATGTATACAAAAATTTCATATTCTAAGAAACTATAAACTTTGAAAAAGGCAATTATTGTCTCTATTAAGGAACAAGTTCATGCTCTTTGCTGGTAGTTCTCAAAGTATGGCCCTGGACCCAAAGCCTCAGCATTACATAGGAACTTGTCATAAACTCCAGTCACCCAGCCCCACCCAGACCTGAATTTGACAAGCCCTCCAGTGATCCTGAGCTGGCTGACATCTGAGAACCACAGCTCTGCACAGTCTACAGAAGGAAGCCCAGTGAGCAGGCCATGCTGTTGGGTGCTGTTTCAGTAATTAAAACAAAATTTATATAAATCCTACTTTTGAAATCCACCCCATTCTGTTTCAATTCAAAATTGTTTGCAATGACATTTTGCTCTAGTATGCATTGTTCCTATTATAAATTTCTTTTCCTTTGAGAAATAGCAAAATGCATCATTAGATCACCTATGGCTAAAAATTTCATTAAGTCCTTTTAATGTTTTCCTAAACCTTATTGTTGTAAGTGGGAAGTTTTGACTGAGAATTCCAGCATAAATAATTTTTTTTATTCTTTGAAAACATATTTTTAAATTCCTGAATACTGTAAAGCATTCTTTCCATTAACCTTAACCCACCGAAAACCCCTAAACATTTATCTTAACTCTTAGCAGTTAAAGTTATTTAATTTAGACATACATAAAGTATTAATGCATGATTTTAGTCAAACAACAAATGTTGGAAGCTTCAAGAGATGATGTAATAAAATTGCCTATATAATTCAGAGGAGGTTTTTTTTGTTTGTTTTTACTCTGCTTCCTTTTATAAAAGATTTGAGTCAACTTACAGAAAATATGTATAATATTTGATTAAACTATAAACAAAAAATAAAAAAAAATACGGCTATTCGGACAGGGAAAAGATAAGTTCATTTGAGAAGCCCTTCGTTTGCTCCATAATGGCTGTGGTTGGGCCATACATACGGTTGTTTGACCTTCCCCACCAGTCAAGGCAAATGAAAACCAAAGGCCCATGCCTCATCTCCCTAGCTATAAGAAGAAAACAAACTAGTTACTTGGGAGAACAAAAGATCTTTCTGAGCATTGAAAGAAAGCATATCCAAGTATCTTCACATATGAATAGTAATGTTCACCATATTTCTTTTCTCAACAGCATGCAAACAACTTGTATGTGTAAGGAAATGTACCCTACCCACTTTGTTCCTTGAGGGCCATTGATAATTCTCTGTCCATTCGGTTTTCCATTACTACCGGGAAGAGCTTTCCCTTCTACATTTGGTCTGCCATTATAACCTACATGGTACAAAAAAAACAGTAACAGAGCCTGGTCAGTGCAATGTTTAACATTCCTGGAAAGTTGGCTTCATGTCAAACTGTAAGTAGCAGCACATCATTCCTAATGGAAACACTAAACAGAACATTAAACCAATAGTTCAAATATCTTAAATAATGACAGTCTTAAATTGCGACTTCTGCATGACAACTATGAATGTCTATTAAGAGTATAGTAAAGTTACAGTTTTCTGATAATACAGGGGGCGTGAGCATGTGCGGCTTAAGTAAAATTGCCATGTAAAGCTTAAGCCCTTAGTAGCTATAGCTTTATTTTAGCCATTTGGAAGCTGGAGGGGGGAAAATTTGGAAGGATAGAGAAAATTGTCTCCAAAATGCACTAGAAGCTGTCCTGCTTTTCTCGGCATGTCATACTAAACATGACAACTATTTCCACCTGACTCGGGTCCCAGTCATCACCTGCCCAGTATGAGTGTGCAGTGCGGCTGCTTGAGAAGCGCTAGTATTTGCTTAGAGAGGAGGGAGAAAGTGCCGCAGTGCCCTGCAGCTGTCTCGTCCCTCTGCACCGCGTGTGGAGCCGTTTCTCATCAGCTACCATCCGCCCTGCTCCAGCCTCACTGTGCGTTGTGCTTGGGCTTCCTGCCGGCTGTGTGCAGGTCAGACACATTTCTCTCACTCCTTCGTTTGTTCATTAAATATTTATTGAGTTCCTGCCATGCTCAAGGGAATGTTGAATTTTACATCTATTATCGGGGTGTTAGGTTTGCTTAAAATAGTCAATCTTAGTGGAAACCTGACCTTGATAGGGGCATTGTTCTATGTCTTTACATTGGACTGAAATAACAATGCATTGTACAGATTAACAAATAATACATTCGTTCAAGAATGTTCTATGTAGCCCCAATTACATGAAAAGAGAGTTCAAGGCATCACTTAACTGAATGCAAATTTATGGTAAATACCTTAGACCCTTCCCTGGGGTCCACACAGACTGCAGTTCATAGCTGTCTATGCTCCATCCTCTGTTCTAGAAATACAAGGCACGCATTTGCCTGTGATCTCTCTGTGTGACAACCGTCTTTACCATGCATTTTCTGGAGGTTTTAGACAATATTCACTGACTGTAATGTCTGAGCAATTCATATCCAAGACATTTGAGCTTCTCCCAGGGTTTGTTCGATTGAGTTTTGTGTGCAGGAGATGAGAACAAAAAGAACAAGATGAGTCTACTACGTATCTAATTCCTTACTGTGGATTCCTTAAATACACGCTAGCACTTGAACTAAGAAGAATCTAACATACAGGACCCTGAGTCTGACATCATGGCTGCTACACATTTTCACAGATTAAGAGGGTAAGTTACGGAATTCGAAGAGGCAGTATGGGACAGTGAATGACAGACGGCTGTGCAACTAGACCATTTGGGATTGGAATTACAGCCACTCCACAGCTGTCTGACTTCAGGCAAGCCACTCATGTCCCTGAGCTCTGGCTTCCTCATCTGAAAAACAGGAGTCACGATGCAAACCCTAGAGACAGTTAAGAGGATGAAATAACATTACATGTGCAAAGCTCTCAACACAGTGCTGAGACATAGTAGATACTGCTTATTTTATTCATGGCCTCAGGAATTGCCATGAACACTACTGAGCGCCTTTTAAAAACAGGTTAAGCGACTGTTTTTACAAATTACCTTGTCGGTAGGGGGGTCTCCCAGTCTGGCGGGAGAGAGGATTCCGGAATCTGGAATGCATCATCCGCTGGCGCAAGGAGAGCATCGGGGTGGTGGAGTAGCTGGGAGGGGCGCGGGTGGCAGACCGCGGCCACGAAGGCGTCCCCGTGACGGGACTCGCGGTGGCAGGGCTGCGAGGCGGCAGTCGGGGAGGTAGGTGGGAGGCCCTCGGAGGGCTGCCTGGAGGAAGCGGCAGAGGTCGCTTCCCGGGAGCGGCGCTCTCTTCCTGCGCCAGGCTCCCTCTGGGAGGAGACCGCACGGCAGGCTCCCGCTGGTCCTTGGCGAGGCTGCCATCAGCATATTTGCTGCCCTTGGGCGTGGAGGTAGAGGGCCACTTGGACACAGAGGAAGACAGAGGGTCTTCCTTTCCTCCTTTTAGAAATCCCGCGTCCTCCTCCTCGTCCTCCGCGGAGACTGACTGCTGGGATTTGGACGGCAGGGGCCGCCTGGAAGGAGGCTGGGTCTCCCTGGGTGTGGCCTGGTCCGCGCCCCGCTCCTTCTGCCCCGCTGGCGGCCCTACCCTGCCCGGGACGCGGGTGCGGGTCTGGGGCCCGCCGGGCCTCGGCCAAGAGCCGGCGTGTCCGCTCCGGGGTCTGTCCTCGGCGCTCCCCGCAGGCGACTCCACCTGACTGTGCTTGGGCAGGGGCAGGGTGGCGTCCTTGGCGCGGGCGGGGGCCAGGACTTCCGTGCTGTCGCTGTCATTGCTGCTCTGGGAATCCTCGTCCTGGCTCCGGCGCCCCGTGTGCAGCACCCCTCGGGAGCTTGCGGTGTACGGGTCCGAGAGGGCATGGGCGCCGCCCTGCGACGTGGGGCGGGGGCGCCCGGCCTGAGCTAGCGCGAGCTTGGGCTGGGAAAGTGACCGCCCCGAGTCCTTGCTCTGGGGGGCGGAGGGCTGGTGCTGGGACGTGGAGACGGGTGGCGGGGGCTGCCTTTCTGAGGCCCGGCCTGGTGTCATCCTTCTGGGAACACTGGGCGCAGGGTGGTGCTGTGACCGTGCTGCGGGAGGACGAGCAGAGGACAGCTGGCGGCCCAGGGACACTGGCTGCGTTTTGGGAGAATGACCCTCCATGTCCACGTCTGTGCTCTGCTGAACGTCCTGCGCCTTAGAGGACAGAGAGGAGGATTTGCCCTGAGAATGTACATCTGTCCCTGCGGATTTGGGGTTCTCTGGGACAGGCTCCTTCCGGTGCAGACCAGCCCCTCTCTGGGGGCTTCTTCTTAGGGGGTCCCATCCCCGAGAGGTGGTCTGCCTGGAGGAGGAAGGCACGTGGTCATTTACCACGGTGGCAGAAAGTGGCTTCTCATCCTCCCCGTCTCCATGGATACCTGAGCCGAGCCTGGGGACGGAGGCTGGGTGAGAGTGAGCCCTTGAGTGGGCTCGGGGGGGCACCGTGGACTGTGGGGAGCTGGAGGGCTGCAGCCGGAGTCCCCGGCCGCTGCCAAATCTGTTCAGAAACCTGCCATTGGCTGCAAAGGGCTTGTGTCTGAGCAAACTCAAATGTCCAGAGGCAGGCCGGGCCCGCAGCGTCTGGGCAGTGGCCTCCGCCGGCCTCCCGCTGTCTTCTGCGTCACCATCACTGTCGCCCTGGCCATCAGAAGCGTCTGCTCCCTCAGAGACCTGTGTCCTGGAGGAAGACATGGTGGACCGTGATGGCGCGTTAGAGTTGGCGGCTGGGGCTTCATGACCATCCCTCCAGCCCCTGGAGGGCAGAGGGCCCGGGTGCGGTTGGGTGGGCAGCAGCCGAGATGACCCCCGATGGGGTGGAGAAAGTCTCGATGGTGGGGCTGAGGCGCTGAAATCTTCCTCCACGGCCCCAGAATGGGGTGCCCTCCATGCCGGTGAGGCTGGTTTTGTGCCATGGTGCATGGCGCTTCTGTCCCGCAGGACGCTGGAGGCAGACTGGCGGCTGGGCGACAGGGCTGGCCAGGGCTGGGCCGGCCTCTTGGGAGGTGGCTGCTGCGCAGACGTGTCCTTGGGGTGGAGGGAGCCTGCAGCTCGCTCGTCTTCGTCTGGGTCCACCGAGTCATTGTCGGCAGAGCTGGCAAGCGGGTTGGCAGAGGAGCCCCCAGCAGGACGGTGAGAGGTGCCCTGGGTGGCTGTGTGGTGGGCGGGAGTGGCCGCCGAGGAGCGGGGGTGGGCGGTCAGCGAGGAGCCACGCTTATCTGCACCTTCCTTCCGGGGCAGCACGGGAGCCCTGCCAGAAGCAACCACGGAGTGCCCATGCCTGCTTGGTGGCCTCAGAGTTCGCTTCTGGTCTTGGCTCTCCGAGGGCGAGGCTGGAGGGTCCTCCAGGGAATCTAGCTCCTCCTCCTCGGTGACCTCCGTCGACTGAAGACCCAACTCTTCAGTCTTCTTAGGGCGAAGCGGGAGTTTTCTGGGCAACCCACCATTAGCCAATATCTTGTTCTTCAAGTCAAGGAGAGGGTCCTTGACATTTCTATCTTGGGGAGAAACAGGCAAATGAGTGTGTTTTGAGGAAGCTGCAGCTTTTGGAGAAGATGAGGGAGGCTCAGGTTTTTGAGGTTTCCAATTACCCTCCGTGTTCTGCTGAACATCACTGCTCCTGGCTATAACAGATTTAAAGAATTGACTGTCAAAGAAGAAATTCAAAAGCTGTGTGACAAAAAGTGAGCATTTAAGATGGTGATGTGGAGGCATTTCAAATCAGTAATCATAACTGATAACTTCTAATGCCTTAGAACACTGAAAACTTATTTTCCCAATGATAGTGTTCTTTTTTAAAGCTCTATCTTGCTTTTAAGTAACAGATACAGTCCCAGAAAATATATGTGAATTGAATCTCCATAAATTAAATCGGATTATATCATAGCTTATCTGAAGGAATTCTGAAATAGTACTTTGAATTAATTCATTGATTTTGTAAATGCAAAATCGTATGTAGGATTTTCTTATTATAACTAATTGTCAGGATATTACACATGCATTATAGCTGTTCTTAATAGGCATGAAATACATATAAACCTCATGCAAAATGCTCAATGATGATCTATCTTCAAAACCACATGGGAATGCGTTGTGTGTGACAAGCAACCGATTTGAAATTTTTGAGGCATTACAAAGGGTTCCCTATTCCCCCAACATGTCCTTCCTTACTTCTTCCTTCTTGCTTAAAATGCCTTTAATAATAAATACATTTACAATTCTAAAATAAGGCTTAAAATAAAAAGGCTCCTTGGATAAGCAGGCATTATATAAAATGCACCCTGAATTGCCCTGTGGAGAGCAGGATTGGCTGAGGGAAGAGCTCCTACAAGGGGAGAGGAATCTGTACATCAGTCAGGGATCCACAGGGAGCAAACTTCGTATATTTCAGTTTTTCCCAGGACAAAACTGTTTCATATCACAGTCTACCACGTGTCCTCACAGCACAGAACGGAGGAGGGTGCTGCCAACATCTGGCGTAAATGTGGGGAAGTGGAAAAGAAACCCCAAACCATTTCACTCCAGTTTTGGATCTTTAACTTGTTTGGCTTTGATACTGATCAGATAAGCGAGACAACTGAAATCCTTCTGAGTGAGGCTTCTCTCCTAAATAACGGAATACAAACTAAACATTTTTAAATGCTCTGTACAAATTAAAGTGAGCTAACGATGAAAATTGTCACATTACACTTGTAAAAATGTTCTTTCCCTTTCACAATAAGCCCCAAATTAAACAGTGGTATAAGATGAATCATATAACTAATACATCAATATTATAATAACAATTAATGTTATCAAACAATCAATAACATTTTAGTCTTTGGGGAGACTAATTTCTAAAGGGACTACAAAAATATTTTAGAAATCAATAAGCACCTTAGCCCCCCAAAAATCATCAACTGAACAGTTCTAAACCCAAGAGCATGATTCAAAGAAACACAAAACAAATAGCACGAATGAAGAGAGAGAGAAAAGAGAGCCACAAACGCAATGCTTACTTGTTGGCATAGCGACAACGAAGGCTTTGGAGTGAGGTCCCAGGCCTCTCCTGTTTGCAGCCCGGATTTTGAAAAGATAGCGTTCCCCAGGCTGCAGACCATCCACCAGGGCAGAAGTAGTGTCTCCAGGATAGGTGAGGGACTTTGCTCCAAATGGTTTGAGAGCCGGGGCGTAGGAAAGAATGTATTCTGAAACGATTTGGCAGACAGTTGGAAGGAGGAAACTGAAAACAGTCCTGTATCCAGCAGACAGACCGCATGGGCAGGATGAATTAGAACGTGCATTACTAAAATTAATACGCTAGCAATGCACGCCAAGTCCCCAGCTGGAGCATGAAGACGCAGCAGAAGGTGATTGCACATTCATCTGGGCAACCAGACAGGGCTACGTATTTAATTAGCTGGCACTTTGCCATCTTAAGCAAATTAAACATATGGAACCCAGGAGGCCAGTCTTCATACAATTCCCTAAAATACTTACACTGTGGGTGTGGTTTCTTAAAATTGTATTTATTTACTAATTTGTATCCCAAATAGAAGAAACTAAGGAAAAAGAAGTGACAGCTGCTAGGAATTGATTCTGAATAGCTTCTGACATCTTCAAGAGTTTTAGTTTATTAAGCTGAGTTATTTTTATTAGCATATTAAGCCAGAAAAATTCCATATTTGAAATATAATTTCATTTTGTAGGAATGATATAAGTCCTTATTCAATATATGCCAATAAGGATATTTCACAGTATTTAAAACTATGATGAAAAGATGTTATAGTAAATAACAGATTTATAAGATGTATAATGTATCCATCTTTAATTGACTATATCTGTAAGTATATAATACCCTTGAAATTTGAAAACCACAGCAAGTTCAGTCCAAGGAACTAAAATATCTCTATGCTTACATAGAAATATTGTAACATAAGGAAGTCGTATTTTAAAACATAATTTTCACCTGCAGCTAAAAACTGTCATGCCTATTTTCCTCTCAAAGAACTCAAGATTTACAAAACGTATCAAATTAATATGAGTAGGAGCTAAGAATAATAATTTAAATTACACAAAAATCAAGCAATTATCAGAAGCATGGGAGATCTTTTCTTTTCCCTAAGCTCTAATCTTTAAAAAGTACATTAATTAAAAAAAATTTTTCAACCAAAAATGCTTTTTCTGCATTTGTCTGGAAAAAAAAACCCACAGCGTTCTTGTCGTATTAAAAATGAATAAACATCATTTGTGGTGGTCAAAAGTAGAATTAAGAGAACCCATTGTCTATAAAATTTTATAATTCAGATTTTGTATGAACTCAATTCATCTGGAAAAAATTTAACCATGTCAAAGTATATTCTTCTATTATATTTTACATTTCTTATACACAGAAAAATGCTCCAATATAATTATGAATTTCAATCCCACCACTACACCCTTACAAAAACTATCTAAGCAGGTAAGATACATGAGTTCTTTTGGACATAAAAACTCAGTAGCTATTATTATTTCTGGCAATAATTAATTGACTGCCAAGGAGCTTCTTTCACCAAAGAGCTATAAACTGAGATGTGGGAGAAGAGAAGAACAAATAAGCAACACGGTAATAAAGTCACTAGAGGTGCAATAACTGACTTTTTTAAAACTAAAAAAAAAGTTGTTCAGCCAATAAATGTCTTAATTCAATTTTTAGAGACTTTTTCAGCATAACAACAATAATTGATAGAGAGGGAGTCAATGTCCAAATTGTCATAAAAAGAATGATCGAAAGGGGCCAACTAAATGTGTATTCTCTTTTGTTTTTGATTTATTCCAGTGGGAAAAATCTGAGCAAGAAGAATAGTACAATCTATTCCCAACAAACCGTAAAGTGAAAAAGTATTAAGTATAGAAAATATCATTCCACATCTACCTTCCTTAACTTCTATTTGTTCCATGAAAAGACATCCTCAAAGATAACTTATAGTTGAATACAAAAAATTTTAATTTTTTCAGTTAAGAAATTCTCAAAGGGGATTAGTGGTAATTTATTGGATTTCTTAAAGCTTACACAAACTTTTATAATAAGTTTCTGGACATATTAGTCTTAAAGTGGTCTCCAAAAATCTAATGACAATAAAAAATATTCCTTTCTTAAATACAAACTCCGTTCCTTTCTACCCTTAGGGTGCATTTGCATAGGCAATGCTAGGGAAGAACCTCAACATGACTCTTTAAAATGTCCCCACACAGAATTCTGAATGGTTCTTAAATGCTTTTATATTAAAAAGAAAAGATTTGGACATTTTAGTATTTTCAACAATTTTAAAATTTAACTAGTTGTGAATCGTTTATTTTTATTCTTTTAAATCTTTAGTATTTTTTTCTATTTTAATGTTATATTTTCCATGACATAAATAAATAAATAGACAGATAATGACAAATAGGAAATAAATCCATCTTCCGGCACTTATTACTTGAGTTTTTCAAACCCACTCAAAATATATATGGTTTCATTAAAGATATTTATGGTCCTACAGGATTTCTGTAACTCCTACTTTCGTGATCTTCCTGGCGCAACGAAAAGATCCATAGCAGAAAAACCAGGGTGTTGTTTGGATGGGTGAAGGTTATGATGTCACACCCATGCCATTAAAAACATCCCTCCTAATGGCAACACCAAAAACCCTTCATAGGAAGACGAAGAGAATAATCACCTTCGCGACTATCTGACTCTTAGTGGAAATGTTGCATGAAATCTCCTTGTCCCTAGGGTTAGCACCTCTTACACGTATGTTGCTTCCCTATTTCTTTTTCAGGCACCAAAGCTGTGGGTAGAGGCAGTGTTTATCAGAATCCATGTATCCGACAGTTCACGGAATGAGATTCCTACCTTTCACCTTCCCCTCGGTCTCTGGTAGTGCATCCCAAGACACAGTGACAACTGTAGGTTTGCCATTGACTGGCCAGACATTCAAGTTTTCAGGAGCTGTGGTAGGAGCTACAAACGAGAAGGAATCGAACATTTTAAAATGCCCTCGCATCACCATCTGAGCTCCACAACTCCTACATCCCCCATTCGTGGAAAAATTGTCTTCCATGAAACTGGTCCCTGGTACCAAAAAGGTTGGGGACCGCTGCCCTAGTGGATATCCCAAAAGTAAATGGCATGCAGTCTCTACGTACGTATGTCTTATTGAAGAGCTACTGTGTTAATTATTATTACGCATGAGGGAAAATTCTATACTTGTTCTTGTGATATAGTGATTTACGTCACTTCAATGAACTCATATAGTGAGTTTAGATCCATCTAGGAAAATGCTTTCAGGAATTCAGAATTTCTCTCATTGCTAAATATTGAAATATACAAAGAAGATTAAAATCCAGCTCCAAATTTTTCTTAATAAAACTTTTAAAGATACAGTTTAAAAGAAAAGAATTGTAGCATTGGATACAAGCAAAATTCTCCCCCAGAATCAAACACAACCTCAGATTCAGAATTTCTCTCATTGCTAAATATTGAAATATACAAAGAAGATTAAAATCCAGCTCCAAATTTTTCTTAATAAAACTTTTAAAGGTACAGTTTAAAAGAAAAGAATTGTAGCATTGGATACAAGCAAAATTCTCCCCCAGAATCAAACACAACCTCAGCCTCAGGAAAGAAAAGTCTCTCCTACATGCAAGAGCCATGCGTTTCCCGGGGGCATTCGTGCATACAGGGATGACTTATGTGTGCTACATGCTGAGACGTAGTGTGCTGCACACGTCAGAACAACATGAACAACCTGCTAGTGGAAAAGGCCAGCAAAGGCTACAACAGGACCCAAGGAAACGGCTCCCTAACTTCTTTCCACTTGTACATAGAAACACGACCAAAATTTAGAGTTCACGTGTCTTTCAAAAATGCCCACGCTAGCCTTTGTCACTACTGGCTTCTTAAACTGTTTACTTTAAATCTTATTTTAGGAATAATTCCCAAATTGAAAATCCAAAGGCCATTTCAAATACAGACCAGATTCTGGTGTTCTTTGGAAGACTGATATACTCCACTTGCCATCTCTTTCACCCTGTGAAATACGGACTGCAAATTCATACACGGTATCTGGAATCAGGTTCTCGATCAACACACGCCTGTTAGTGATTTGCTTGTAATCCCACCTGGCGGATTCCCCCTTTTCTCGATAGCGCACGGTGTACTGTCTGTAAGAAAATGCAACACAACAATATATCCAAATTCTCCGCAGCTGAACACGAGACTAGGTTCTTGCTGTTTTTCCTTTCCCATAAGTGATGACTTCTGGAGATAAGTAGGGAAATCAAAGAGGAGAAAAATCGAAACTTTTGCTTAAGTTCCAGGCAAAGGGGTCTGTAACATAGGCCAGGAAAGATGGAGCTTAGTGTCTTTTTAAGACCAAAAAGTCTTAACTGCTCAAGAGACCAAGCAAAGATTACAAAAGGAAGGAATGGAAAGAAGACAGATTTTATGAGGCCACTACCTTGTCAGGGGTGTGCGTGCGCTTGTGTCTGTGTGGGTGGGAAAGGCACAATATCAAGGACCAGGAAGGACCCAGGGTATCTTGGATCTCCAGAGAAAAAGACAAAAAACCCTCATTTCATGCCAAATCAGGCATGTTTTCTATAGGTTCAAGAAGAAAGGGAACATGTGGTTTTGAGTAGACTTATTACCATGAAAAGGAGCAAAAATGTGTAACAAATAGAGCAGGACAAAGGAACTTAGGAGAGGAACTCCAGTGTGTGATTAGCAGGGAGAGAAATGCGATGTGACCAAACATGGAATATTCAATAACCCCAGACACCTGCATCACCCTGAGAGTTGCAAACACTGTTTACTGGATTCTTTTTAAAAGAAATTTTCTTTGTAGCCTCTCTGCAGGGGAAAGCACTTGATCCATTAAAAATGTGCTGTTTGTTACATTTAGTAAGTTAGGAGAAGGCTTGAGTTGAAGACACAGCACCCCAATTAACACAACAGTTCTGCTAAGAAAACACAAGCCTTCTCGGGTTTCCAGCAAGATGCTGGAAATCAAAGCCCAGCGGCAATCAGGGACACGTCATGTTGAGGAAGGCCGTGCCGCTAGGGAGAGAATCACTATGAATCTTCTGAGGTCTTTCAAAAAAGCAGATGTCTTTTTCCTTGCAGACAGTGAAGGAAACTATCTAATACGAGTAACAGTTTATATATGTATATAATCCCAACATTATGTTCCATTCGTTTTAAAGTACATTCCCTTTTCCTGGTTGTGGATAGGTTCAAAATTAATACATAATAAGTATGCCACCAAATTTGGGGCTTTCTCTTGGTTATAGAAACTATTCAGTCATTGAACACATAAAATTTTGATGGCTATATTCAATCTACCACTAACCAGAAATGGTGTTCCCAGTGGCGTTTTAACATACAAATTATTTTAACCTTATTACTGGTTTTTCTTCTATTGCTATTGCAAATGAATATAAAAACCAGAATAGCACAACATCATGGTCTAAGAGAAAATAAGGTGCATTTTGTTATGCACCAATGAGCTGGACGTGAAGCAATTCAGTGTTGGAAAAATGTCTAATAAGGAACCACTAAGCGTGAAGCATTAAAAAAATGTCCATCATTCTACAGAAAACCTGTCTTACTGTGACTCTTCCTGGGTAACAGGAGGAATGATAAAACTCCCCCCGAGATGGACCCTGCGCACGGACAGAACATGAATGAGACAAGTTAAAACGAATGGAAGCAAAGAAAGAAATGCAATCTAGGAGATTTCCAGACACAAAATCCAACTCTGAGCCAGTGCAATGTGAGGTCTTCTGTGTGTATTACACACAAGACCCTGGTCAAATTTGATTTGTGAGAAATGTGTGACCACACTAGGAAGTAACTACATTGCCATAAAACCTTCCACCATCGAGCTACAAAAGATGCCAGCATCCATGTAAGTCCAAAAGTAACATCATTAAAAACATGTCTTTTTAGGGCCAGAAAGACCACATCTCTCATAAATAAAGACAAAGAAATAAGCAAATGTACCTTGATGCAACAACTTTCTTCTGTTTTTCCAAAACAGGATCCACCCAGGCCACAAGCACAGACTGGGATGACATAACCCGGACAGTGATGTCTTTAGGTACATCCAGTTCATCCTCTTCTGCAATGACAACGGGACCCATAGAAAAGGCTTTCTCTAGCAATGGGCTCTGCCCTGAGTTCCTCTGGACTTGAGTCTACTATTCACCCTATATAATTTTCAGATTGCTTATGCTTAATGTAGACCAAATGAAATGGATAGGAAGTTAAGCAATTATTTGATTGGTCAGTATAGAAAAGCAAAAATCTCCATTCTTGCTTTTCTTAACCACAGCCTGAGAAACAGGCAGTTCACTTTAAAAGCTGCCCAACCCAGTTGACATACGGGACAGTACAAAGTGGGTGCTGGCCCTGGCCAAAGATAGTCCAGGGGACTCAATGTTTTCTCAATGCACACTGCAAGTTTCTTGGAAATAATAAAATTTTTATAGAAACCAAAAGTTTAGGGGAAGAAAAGCTCAATTCACATTTCCTTGGCGATTATGGCATGAAATAAAAATTTGGTTTCAAACAACTGCAAGAATCACATTGGGTTCAACGTCCTCACATTTTAGAATCGGTGATTCCGTGGCATATTAAAATTTATATTCAGATATAAAACAGAATTCAGTCTGTCAATTTCTTACAGAGATTCAGCTTTGTTGTTAATAGAACATGTCATAGTCATGAAGCTTATAGTCTTAGTTCAGTCTCTAACAAATTAAGACTTATAAGATGTCTTTAATATTGCTTTTCAGTCTCTTGGGTTTTTGTTTTGCTTTTTGTTCGTTTGTTTTGCTTTACAGGGGCCACGTTTCTAAAGCATGCGGATTCTACCACAAGCAGGGGAAGGTGGAAATATTTAGCCTGTTAGAAAAGTGACACAGGGGCCGGGCGCAGTGGCTCACGCCTGTAATCCTAACACTCTGGGAGGCTGAGGCAGGGGGATCTTTTGAGCTCAGGAGTTCGAGACCAGCCTGAGCAAGAGCGAGACCCCGTCTCTACTAAAAATAGAAAGAAATTGGCCAAACAACTAAAAATAGAAAAAAAGTTAGCCAGGCATGGTGGTTGCATGCCTGTAGTCCCAGCTACCTGGGAGACTGAGGCAGGAGGATCCCTTGAGCCCAGGAGTTTGAGGTTGCTGTGAACTAGGCTGACACCACGGCACTCTAGCCCAGGTAAGAGAGTGAGACTCTGTTTCAAAAAAAAAAAAAAGAAAGGGAGACTATACAAATAAAAAAAAAAAAATGACACAGGGACTTTTCCTCTGGCAACAATTAATGAATAATAGCAGTGAAACATCAGGTATGTGGACTTCTTTATATAATGTAAAATAAATTTAATTTTGTTTTGTGAGTTCATGAAAATAATTATAGATTATATAGTTGTAGATTGCCTCTTTAAGGCACATAGTCCAGAAAAGGTATATGTAATTTGTTAATATACAAGTAATATAAAAATATCTGTGAAGGAATGTGGGAAAAAGTGTCCCTTAGTAAGTGGACAGTGATCAGGCTATCAGCAAACCACTATGACATTTTTTCTCACTATTCTCAATGCCATTTGAATGCAAATTTAGCTGAAATCACGTTAGCATGCTACCCAAACCTGCTATTCTTTCTCTTCATTCCATGCATCACTGAGGGTGGCTTACGCGTGGACCAGACTGTGCCTTTCCACGGGATAAATGTTTGAGTGCTCCTAACACTGCACAGCGAAGCCACTCAAAATACGTAGGGAAATCTATTCTGTCACAAGAACACTTCAGGCTCTGCATATAAAAGTAGCATGCCTGCACCTAAAATATGACCAAGTCTGCCCTGTTGTTTCTTTTATCCTCAGAAACATTCATGTCATTCGTCACCCAGCCAACACCATTTGGAAACAGCAGGGCATTCGTATTAGACCACGGTTTGACCAAATGCATCCTTACAAACATACCTGAAATCTTCCGTTTGGTTAGGGCAGCTCTGTAGACTGGCTGGCTCCGTCCCTGGGAGTTCATGGACTGCAGGGAGACCACGTATACTGACTCCGAGGCTGTGGACCAGGGAACGAGGGATGAGACTCTGGGGCTTGGACCTCTTGGGAACACACACTCCCTGGGGGTCTGCGTTCCCCCTCCCCTTCCCTCTGCATTTCCGCCTCATTGGGACAAAGAAAGATGAGTCCAAGATCCATAGGAAATAAATTCGGAAAGAACACTATTATGTTAGGAAATGAGGAACTGATTTTTACCTATAAATCCTGAAAAATGAGTTCCTTATCAGCATCAAAAAGAGATGAGTGATGCTTTAAAAAAGAAAGTATCATATTTACCCACATAATTCCCCTAATTTCTTTTTTTCCAATTTATTTATTTCCTTTTTTTTAAATTTCAGAATATTATGGGGATACAAACATTTTGGTTACATATAATGCCTTTGCATTGCCCGAGCCAGAGCTATAAGCATGCCCATCCCCCATAGAGTGCGCTAATTTCTTTTTATTTATAAAATAGAGAACAGGGAGTCAGTTACTCTGTTTTTATCCATCATCAGAAAGAAAGGAGAAGAGAACGGAACAGCAGATGTATTACATTAACAGCCCAGGTCTTTACTTTCTCGTGGGTTGCTGTGCCCTTTGAAACTAAAATCCTCAGAACAGAGTCTCTGAAGATTTGCTACGAGTAGATGGAACAGTTTAAATGTATGCTTTATTTCTGGATGGTTCTTTCAGTCAGCTCCAACTTTTCATATACTTGGATTCTGCAGGGCGACTGCTGGACTTGAGCATGAAAGCGTCTGAGTGCACGCAAGGAGTCCTCGAACCAGCTCCTGCCTATGCTGAGGGGTGACTGTATTTGGGGGAAAAGAATACAGTGACGGAGTAAAACTTGTACTCTCGAGTACTGTGGAATCGCAGAGTCTGAAACCCAGGTGAAACCTCGGTTATTTTCTAATTGGACCTTCTTATTTTACATGTAAAGACATAAAGCCATAACAATTGAGTGACTTGCCCACGGTTACACCTGCAAGAAGCACTCACAATCTTCCCTGAATCCCAAATTGCTAATGCCTAACTCTAGGCTCTACTGAGCAAGCCTCTTATTCAAGCTTTAATCAATTCAAAAATAAAAACGAGGCAACCTGATTTCCAGTGCACATAGTTGTATTATTAGGCAATATCTAGGTAAATTAACAGAGTCTGACATGAAGATCCTAAAGGGAATTTAGAAGACAGGAGTCCTCCTTCAGGCATTGCAAACTTTCAGATGTCGGGGGGGAAATCAACCTTTTGTCTTTACAAACTTGTTGAGTCAAACATAAAAGGATACCTGTGTTCACAAATCTCACACAGAGGGACCTATTTATAGAGTGACCTGCTGTCTACTAATCGGAGATTTCAAGGGAAGGGGATAATATTTGACAGCCTCTCTCTATATTCAGAGAGAAACCGGGAGAAGCTCGTGCTGTGACATGAGGAGGTTATTTGTACTAAGTCACTCACGTCTCACTCTACCAAAGGATTTTGAAATGTATGTTTTGTGAAAGCGAGGGATCAGATTTGTAACACTCGGATTCACAGAACATCAAACTGAGCTTCTATACAGAGGAGTCACTTCAGATCTGCTAATTTTTTGGTGTTACTGACAGTGGAATTGTGCCAAAAGTAAACAAAGAAAAAAATCTGCCATCCGACTTCACGGCCCAGGAACGTGTGTAAGAAACTACACGTGGAGAGCAGTGCCCCACCCTTCATCAAGAACCACCAAGAAATGAATCCTTTCCCACAACTAAAATGCTTAATGTTTTCAGCGTATTTCTTAAAGTTCTTAGATTATTTTTATGCCTAGATTCTTGATTTGCTGAGCTCTTGAAACTAAACTTGGCCCAAGATGACCATTAAGGAAAAGTTTCATCCTGCAGTGAACTACAACAGCAGCTCTCGGAGGTCGGTGAGTCTCCGCCCTGTGCTACCCACTTCACATGCGACAAAGCCCCAGGAGGAAGCTACTCGAATTGTCTCCATTTCTCAGATGAAGAACGGGCTCAGAGGGCTGAGATGACACCGGGGTCACAGAGTAAGGGGCAGCCCGGCTCGCAGGTCTGTGGGCTCCGACGGTTCTTAATAACTGCAGCTGAGGAGGGGCGGCCCCAGGCAGCGATCCGTCTCCTCTTCATGGAGACGCCACGAGGAACACGCGATGGTACACAAACACACCTCCTCTAAGCCCCTGATTACTGAATAAAGGGGGGAAATAAAATTTCCAAAACGACCCCGGCGTCACCAGCCAGAGCCAACACATCAGCCCACGTCCCCACCTCAAGTGTGCAGGGTGGCAGAAACACCCTGCCACGACTTCTAAGGGTCTGTCACAACCTCCTGAAGGACTCCCCACTTCCTCGTTCTTCAGTATGACCCCGTTCCCGCTGTCTCCTCTCCCTGTGATGGTCCCGTGGCTCCTCCAGCTGCAGGGCCTGCTCAAACATCACCTTCTCTGTGGGGCCTCCTTTGGCCATCGAGTCAACACCGCTGCCTCCCCCGGGACCATGCCTGACATAGGAGAGGCCCAGTAGAATGTGTTTTGTGAATGGCACAGAGATTGGCGCTCTGCTGCCCCAACCTCAGACCCACCACCGACCCCAAGGCCTCTTAACGTGTGACCACTCTCCGTAGTACCGCAGGTTTGGTGGCATCTCTGTTACAAACAGAATGGAGTCCTGTGCTCCATAAATAAGGGGACAGGTTCCCTGTGTCACGGCAGGTCCACTCCAATACCTCTGGAGGTTCCACTTGAGCCCCACCCTGCCCCTGCAAGAGGAGGCAAGCTTCCAGTGAGACCTCCTCCTCCTCGTAGTAACCTCTTACATCGCTCACAGCGGCAGGTCCAGAGCTTTGTATGTAGTAGAAGTTCAAAAACTAACATGTTCTACTAGAAGCCCAAGAGTTCTGCTCTGTCCCTGTGGTCTGGGACTTGCCCACCCTTGACCTGAGGTCCAATATTTTCAGGCAAAAAAAAAAAAAAAATCCTTCCACTATCCTCAGGCGAGCCAGTGACTCACTACTGAAGAAATGAAAAAATAGATAGCAGACCCCATCAGATGAAAAACTTGTCAACGTTCAATGACATTTTAACGTGTGCTGTCTACGAAAGACTCAGAACAATGAAAACTGTCCATTTAAAAAATGCTCCCCTACAGTATCAGAAATGCAGGAACAGTGGCTTTATTCTTCTGCTGATACCCTAGGTAGAATTTGGCCCACATCACCAAAATAGAGCTGTTTTACCTGCGCAATAAAACTACTTGGGCATAGGGGGTCGAACCCAGAATTAGGCCAACTCTGCCACCCAAGCAGGCCTGGACCCTACGGGTGCCCCAGAGCCTGCTGTACCCAGGGGGGAGACACGAAGGGGCCCAGCCACACTTACCCGATGCTCTTTCCAATTCGCCAAGTACATAAGGGGGAGGCAGGGGAGAGACAGCTATTGGCACTGTCTCCACGTGCAGGAAGCACCAGGCCGCAGAGCGGGGCCTGTGTCCCTGAACAGGCCTGTTGATGGATAAGCCCAGCACGGATCAGGACCCCACCCGGGCCAGAGCCACACACATAATCCCTCCCGGCCACAGTGAAGTCTCCCTCCCCCGTTCCTCAGCCACCACCTCCTCTGCCCACTAAGGGGGTGGGGGGAAAGGAGGGCGGCCTGATGTGCAGTTACCCTCGGCTGCCACCATGTCCCACCTCCATGGGACCCGAGGTCCAGTGTCCTAGGATTCTAAGACAAAGCTTCAAAGAACAAAATGACGAAGACAGAGTCAAGATGGCAAAAGCATCAGCTCCCTCTCAAGTGATACCTGGAAATTGGGCATTACAACTAAAATATAATGTTCTGTCATGAATGAGCTTCTCAATATTGAAACAATCACGAAGATCATTAAAACATTGAATGCCAATGAATATTAAACTCACCCAGCTTCTTAATTTCATGTGTCCGCTCATCTCTCGTCAGTGGAACATAATTCATCTTCCGGCCATTCTCCCCATAGCCCAGGAGAAAACCCCGAGATCTGCGTGGACTCTTGGCTCCAGACAGGCGTGGCGCCTTCCACGCAACAGACAGCCTGTCGTCTGAGGACCGGACACGTACACGCAAGGGCTTGTTGGGCACTTCCTTTTCTTGAAGAGGACACGACACGGAAGCCATTAGACAGTTTACCACCTAGAGTTTACGATTATGTATAAGTCTCCCCAAACACTGAGCCTCAACAAGTAGCCATTTTTGGTAACAAGTCTAGTAAGAATGTTTTTTCCCCAGGGCATCAACACTCTATCCACATGTTCCCTCCACATTTCATAACCAGAGGTCTCAAGAACTTAACACAAAAACATTCTATATTGGGAGACGCTGGCCAGACATCCTGGAGGTTTGACAATATCCCCTTTCATCTAGCTCCTTTTGCCCCCTTAAGGCCAAAACTATATATTCTCTGGCCAGAGCTAAAGGTCAGTGTAAAAATATAGCAGAAACACATTATGTGCTATTTATAACTGTCCTCCAGAAAGCTTTTTCACTGTAATGTTGAGAAGATGGGCTTTCCTTGCCTTTACGATGAATCACTGAGAGCTAAATACTAACTGACTTCTGTTGGGGTCTTAATTTTCCTTCCATGTCTAAGTCCTGCTCCTCCAGACAGATCCTGGTCATGCTACACCATCGCTGCTATCCTCAGGGTCTGTGGTTTTCAATTTTGAGAAATCCTCTTGCTAAATTCATTAATCTCAAGAAATGCTCTCATTGTTAATTTTTCACAGCAATGCATTCTGGTGGCCAGTACTAAAGTGTTTAAAGTTTTGCTTTTATATCAAGTTAAGAGCTGGCATGTTTGGGACCACATGACCTCTGCTTTGCCCACTTCTAACAGTGGGCCACATCCTAGCCCTCGTTTGAGGATCTGATTGGCCTAGGAGCATCTCTTTAATTGTGCAAGGCATTTACTTTCCAGACATTCTTCCTCCACTATGTCATCAACACCATCATCAATTCTGACTAATTTAATAGACTGAAAAATTCCCAGCTAAGCTAACATTTCAACATTAAGATATTAAAACAAAAACTAATATCATGAATTAGTGTGAGCTTCAGTAACACAGAAATAAGTAGCCATTAGAGACGGTTACTCTGAAATGCCAGACACCTGGTTCCAGCATCCTGAATCTAACCAAAATGAACATCCATTTGCAGATTAGCTGGAGTTACCTAATCAGTCCCTGGGTACCCCATTCCTAATGGTCACAAGAGAACACCATGTCATGTTCAACAAGTGTTTCCTCCAATATACAAAGTAGTAATTATTTAAAAGGTTTTAATCCAATAGTATAGTCCAGTGAAATGAGCAAATCTATTGCAAACACACACATGGGCCTTATGTTAGTCAGCTAAACGATAAATTATTGCACGGAGATGGCATTCCCTGCCCTGGAGTTCTGCTCCAGTCTGGAAACCTTTCCAGCCTTGCATCTGGGAATGGGAACAGTGCTCCAACAGTGCTCCTGGAGACTTCGCTGTCAGCACTGGGCCTTGGGGAGGGTTGCAGGTCTCTGCTCCAAACAGGACAAACAGATTCATACTCGGCAACCCCTGACACTCAACAATAAGATAGTGAAAAAAATAGTAATAATAAAAAAGACCATTGGAATTTCCTAAAGTGATGGGGTCCCTGAGGAGGAGGAAGTAAAGTTCTAAGGACAGAGGCCAGCCACAGATGGCACAAGTTTGTTGCCTGAGGTGCCCAGCCCATGGCTCGGTCTTGACCTACAGCAGCCACACAGCCCAAAGGTAGGGATAACAGCCACCCTCTGGCACTATCCAGGCTTCCCCCTCCCAGGCTCCGGCCTCACTGTCTAACCACTCCACCCCGGGGCCCAAGAAGGAGGCCAGGCCCTGAGCTGCTGTGGGGAACAGGGCTGACGCTGGCTCTTGCAACCATCACATTGCCTGTTTTACATAGAATTTTACAGTTTGCGACAAGCTCTCTCATAGTTTATCTTAGCTGTCCTTACAACAGCCCTGAGGTAAGTAGGGTGGATATCAGCATCCCCAAGAGAAAACTGAGGCTCACAGAGGTGAAGCAGCTAACCTGAGGTCACATAGATGGTAGTGCCAAGCAGAGACCTGAATTCAACCACTGTGATTCCAAGTTCCAGCCCTTTTCAACTATGCCCTTCCATTTGAGCTCCCCGCCCACTCCAAGTGCCATCCCGCCCACCTCCCAACCTTGTCTCCTAACGAATGTGAAACAAAAGCTTTGAGCCCACAGGCTCCCTTCAGAGTGAGAATACACTGTCTTGCTCAGTAGGCATTAAATACAGAGAACCAGACAGTATCTCCGCAGGTAGCAAACGGACATGAGGACTCTCACCAGAGACTGCCCCAGGAGAAATGGTCCCACGACGTGGAGCTCACTGTCTTGGTGAAAGCCACAGAGTCAATGAGAATGTCATCCCTCTTTCAAATTTTTGGGTTTAGAAAAGTCAAACACATTTTTTTTCATGTATTTTGAACATTTCCTTTCTTTAATATTCTGGGTTAGATATACCATCAAAAATCCTTTATAAATCATCTGCCAATCCTCTTTTTTTCTTTTTTTCTTTTTGAGACAAGGTCTCGTTCTGATGCCCAGGCTAGAGTGCAGTGGCATCATCCTAGCTCACTGCAACCTCAGACTTCCAGGCTCATGCGATCCTCCTGCCTCAGCCTTCAGAGTAGCTAGGACTACAAGTACATGCCACCATGCTTGGGTAATTTTTGTTTTCTTTTCTATTTTTTTTTTTTTTCGGTAGAGATGAGGTCTCATTATGTTGCTTAGGCTGGTCTTGAACTCCTAGCCTCAAGTGATCCTTTCACCTCAGCTTCCCAAAGTGCCAGGATTACAGGTGTGAGCCACCATGCCCAGCCTGCTAATCCCCTTTTAAGCTGAGGTAAACATTAAGAAAACTATGCATGTAGTTCAAATTCATTTGCAATTAAATTATTTAAGTTTTTCTCTAAGTTGTACATGATAGGCTCACCAAAGCCTTCTGAAATTTTGTAATAAATCTCTGTAAGTACTTTATCTTGAAAACAGGAAGTCATAACTGCCAAGAGTAATGGAGCTCACATCCGCCAGTGCTGAATATATTTCAAACTGGGCAGGACACGTTCCCTCGATTACTCCAGATACAACATAACCAGGTAGGTCATACTCAGAACTGGTTGATAAAAGAAGACCTGCAGCAATTAATTACACATCATCCACTTGGCATGGAAGCTGGGTGAAACAATCATCACCTAGCTTGTAGTAGAGAACAGAAAGTAAGACAGGATTAGAAAATTTTGGATTTGTATCACCAGCTTTTCGACTCGGCAAATATTCTTAAGTTGTATGGAATCAAAGTCTGTTCTTTTCACAAAGAAAAAAATCCAAAATTCAACATGATGCTTTGCCCACTTATAATTCTATGCTAATTAAACTTGGTAGCTTCTGAATTGGGCTTACATAGGCTCTAATGGCAAAGTCCGAATTGAATCTATTACTTGCTGGCTATGTGTCTTTTAGAATTCTCCCTGAACTTCAGTTTCTTCTCCCATAAACTAGTGCATAGTGTGTCAGGTTTTGTGATATGATCCATGGAAAGCATTCAGCACCATACCAGGCATATACTGTATTAGGCACACTAGTTTTGTTTGCGGCCACGACAAAAATGAAATCTCTCATTCATTAGATTCACAACCCGAGTGGGCAGCGCCCTTCAGAAAGGGAGCCGTGAGTGTATCACGAAGTTACCACCATGCCTTGCACACAGGGGCACCAAACAAAGTGTCCAAAGAACCAGACATGAGCAAAAGACAGGAGTTATTGCCAAAGACCCCTTACATAGAACATCTTTTCAAATCTGAGCTAGTCTATCCAGATGATTTTTTTGGCACCATGAACTGAAAGCATTATTCATCACTTTCATAAACATTTAACAATTTTCAATTACTCTAAGTCCTACCCTTCACTGGCATAAAGAATGTATGTCCCCTGCTGTCTGGTGGCCACTTTCTCTTGGTCTAAGTCTTGGCCGGCAGGATTTCTCACTTCCCCGCAGAACATGAGGAATTATTCATGCTACAGCTTCGAAGAGCCCAAGGTCTGTCTGGTTTCTCCTGTTACCAACCTGACAACCCACGGTGCTGCCCGCCACCTTCACAAAGGTGGCCCTGATCCTCGTGCCTGTGGCACGAAACAGCAGGACTGCATGCTCATCCCCAAACATCAGCCTTCAGTGAACTGTGGACACTGAGCTCAGGCGGGAGGGAGTCCAGCTGTCGGGGCAGAGTCTCTCTGCTCAGAGCTCAGTATGCGCCGGCAGCACCTCAAGGGCCGTGAAAACACGCCCTGGTCTCCCACCACCCCCAGCACAGGGCGAGATTCCAGGCCTCTGTGCACTCCTGATCAGCAGGCATGGCGAGGAAGAGGAGAGCAAGCCTGGAGGAAGAGGAAGGGCGGGGACAGTGCATTTGGGGAGCAGTGAAGGCCAGGTGTGACAGTGGGATGGGTGGGACATCTGCTCTACTCGCCACACTCTGCGTCTGAACTTCCTGACCCCGGCCAGGCCCAGGCCCAGCGCTGCCTGACATCTCCAGGTCGGTGAGCCGGAGCAGAGGCCTTGCCAGCCTGCGTCTGCCACGGCTCGTCCTTCAGAGGCAAGTTCTGACACACAATCTTCCTGAAAGACGTTTGGGAATTGATTCACAAAACTCTTCTCCTACACACCTGCTATTTGCAATGTTTACTCTAAGTTCTCTCTTTAAAGCCGTATTTTCCTCTCCGATAAATAACTTCAATGTTTTTAACTATTTACTTAATGAGTTTTTTGTGATATTTGGATAGGTCCAGCTATTTAACAATGAGAAGGAGGAAGGGAATCTTATGTCTTTATTTCAGACTAGCGTCTGTCCACGTGCCGCCATCCTTCACAAGTGATTGGATGTACCAAGGTGTAAGGTATCTGGCGTACACCTTCGCAACACCCCAGTAACAACTTTTCTACAGACAAATTTTCAAAACCAGACAGAGTCGGCATTGAGCAGGAATTGGACCTGTAGCCCCAGCTCTCTCCACCTCCCCTCCTGTTGAGAAGCTCGCAGTGGT